TGAGCGAGTATGGACATTTTCCCCACAGAAGGGGAAAAAATAGTGATGACCAGATACAGATATAATTTAAGCAGAACTATTTTTTTTTTTTTTGGCCTAAGGCACTCTGCAGTGACTATGCCATGGTAACAGTGCACCATAGATGCTAGACTCGACTGTAGCCCTAGTCAAATCATGCTAGGCAATAGCCCCCTAAATGTGGCCAATTTACTGGACTACCTCCTTAAATAAAGGTCACTCTTGACACCCATGTAGAACTTTGTCAAATTTGGATTTTGACATTTAGGCTTTATTTGTAGTTTATTTACGCTTTAGAAGCATACAAAGTCATGTATTCGCCCACTTTATAGTGATAGAAAATGTATCCCCCTTTTTCAGACATCTATATGTTGTAAATTGGCCACGTTTATGGGGCTAGCTAGGCAATTGCTGCTGGCCTTAAGCCGTTTCGCGGATACCCCCATCTTGCTTGAAATCGTGATTGCGCAAAGGCTGGGGGGGGGGGGGGGGGGGGGCACACGTGACCCACACTGAATATTTGTAACGTTAAAGGCATGGTGAGGTCATTTTGGCGCAGAATACGCAGCGCTAGTGCTGTATGGTTACATTAGTTGTCAGTTTTGGTGGACTTTTTACTGATGGATCTTTTCATCCCTTGTTTTTGTCAAATTTAAAAACAGTAACCATACAGCGCGTCAAAATGACGTACCAAATTATACAATCCTCCCTCCATCGCAAACGGTCAAGCTGAATGTAGAGATGACCTGCTGAGGTCACGGGAAGATCAACGCACGCATGGTTATAAAATACAGTGGAACGCTGCTGTAAGGAACATCGCAGGATCCACATAAATTGTTCGTAATATCGATCGTTCGGTATAACGATTTTATTAGCCACCAGTGCTCTGGTACTCACTTTTCAATAAATAGCGCCCTTCAAAACTTCACCCTGCACGTCCTGGTACTAATAGTTACTGAAAGACGACTTTGAACATGTGCCGACTATTGAATTATGTCATTACACAGTTTTTCAGATGGGTGGCTTTCCCCTTTTTTCCTTAGGGACATACATGTAATAGCCACTTGTCGCTCTTCTGATGACATTTTTCAACAACAATGTTCAGTACGTTTTGTACAAAAAAATCGGGAGCCACGCACCATGTTCGGTATAGCCGAATGTTCGGTATAGCGGTGTTCGGTATAGCGACGTTCCACTGTACTGCAAAACAATCCTGCGGCCCAACATATTGAAACAAATTTCAAACAGCGTGCTTTTCGTGCATCTTTGGACCGGCACGCCATGCATATGTGCCGCTAGTGCATGTGAAACTTGATCAAAGAGTCTTGAATATTTGAATATTTGGTGAAACCAGTTTCAAATAATCAAATACTACATTATTGGAAAATGGACAGGCTTACAAGACGGTTGCTAAATGATCAGTTCCTAACATTTGATGTGGAACCTGTATTGTGATGGGATAAGGTTTTACTCTATTTTGTTTCAGGCAAAGCCTAGAGTGTGGAACAAGATGATGGAAGAAACTGTATTGACTGATGATTCTATGGATGATCAGTATGACCGGCCTAAGACACGCTGGGGACCTGTAGGAGCAGTTGCTAGTCCTCCTCCATCAGTAGGCTCAGCAGAGGATGGGTATGTACTCTCATCACAGTCCTTTAGTTGCTAGTCCTCCTCCATCAGTAGGCTCAGCAGAGGATGGGTATGTACTCTCATCACAGTCCTTTAGTTGCTAGTCCTCCTCCATCAGTAGGCTCAGCAGAGGATGGGTATGTACTCTCATCACAGTCCTTTAGTTGCTAGTCCTCCTCCATCAGTAGGCTCAGCAGAGGATGGGTATGTACTCTCATCACAGTCCTTTAGTTGCTAGTCCTCCTCCATCAGTAGGCTCAGCAGAGGATGGGTATGTACTCTCATCACAGTCCTTTAGTTGCTAGTCCTCCTCCATCAGTAGGCTCAGCAGAGGATGGGTATGTACTCTCATCACAGTCCTTTAGTTGCTAGTCCTCCTCCATCAGTAGGCTCAGCAGAGGATGGGTATGTACTCTCATCACAGTCCTTTTTTCCCCTTAAAAACCCGGATGCTAAACATGCCTGCATTTTATCAGTTAATTGTGTACAAAAATATACAAATGTAGCTTAAACCCTAACTCCCAGCATAATTTACTAGGAACCATACCCATCCTGGCATATTCCAACACCCACATGGGAAATTGTACACACACACACGCTGTTGGACTTAATTAGCTTCTGGAGGAATGCCAAACTCATGGAAAAGACCATCAGTTTTGGGGTAGGGTACCCATTCTAACAGATTTCAGCAACACCTGCTGTTGGGCTTTGATGGGTTGAATTTGATTCTAAGGGTTAAAGGGAATATATACATCATTTGCTTTTGCTGTAATTTTCAGAAATGGATGGAATTGGGGGGTTGGAAATATATAGCAAATATAGTTACACTGACTTTTTTGAGGTTTTGGGTTCGAAAATGCTATAAAAACCAAGAAAAATGATCATTTTCCTGTAGTCTGGTCAGGGCTCGATTTACCCGGGTGCACGCATGCACCAGTGCATGTAGACTTTTGCTTGTGCACTTAGCTTTTTTACTGAGCATGCACGACGTGCATGTAACTTTTTTAGCCACCAAAATACTCATTTCATGCATATATTTACAAATGAGTGAGAATAAGAATAAAATTTATTGAAAACTTGACCAGATAGTGTACAAACGTGTTATTTCTTTTATAAATCCATAAAATATTCCTCGCACCATGCTCGCACAGTTGCAGCAGATTCAGAGTACGAGGTAAAATCTCGACGTACGTCCTGCAACCTCCTCCAATCATGCATGTGATTTACCACGTGATACATGCTGCAGAGAATTTGGTATCGCACTCGACGCTCCGGGCATTCCTTATGTCAAGATCATAAGTGTGATACCAAATTATTAGCTGCGTTTATCACGTGGTCTCATTATTGGCCAATTGAACGCCGCCTATCATATGCGCCACATGAAGCAGACGGGTTTTTTGCACGCAAATGACCCTGGGTACTGGTGTCACTTTTCAGGTTAAAATCTGATTTCTACACGTTCGTATGGGTCTTCATCGACGGCAAATTTCGTCGAAATGACACATCCTGAACACGCGGGAAGGCAAATTTAGATTTCTATGTGAGTACTCAACATATGTACGAAATTATGTATGGCGGATCAATTTTGCCATGTTCGAAATGCCACACAAGCGTGGCGTTGTATACAACGCCACGTTCACGGGTTTAGGCTTGAGCATGATCGAGTAAAAAAGTACCGTCTGTAGAAAGTTCGATAAATCAAAGAGAAAGAATGCCTTTAGAGAAGCAGATGGGTGTAAGTCAATTATGGTACATGTGGGTTTTTCTTGGTGCATGTGGGTTTTTTGGTCTACATGCACCAGTGCATGTCAGTTTTTTTTTGTAAATCGAGCCCGGAGTCTGGTTCCCTGACTCCATATAAGAAGAAACAGAGCAGTTTACATACATTGGGGAATTGTAAGGTCAGGGAACCAGTCTAGCTGGCTCGTACCCGTTCATAGGTTTGTAATCGATTGCAAACAAGTGCGATGGTCAATTGGGGCCAGTATTTGAAAAAAAAGCCAGTTGTTTCCAACGCTGATCGGCCGATCAGCGTTGGAAATTGATACAAAAATACCACTTTTCTTGAAAATGACAGTATACCAGGTGCCATGATTTTACAGGATGCTTTACACTGTCATTCACTAACAGTCCAGCAAGGTATTTCAAAATGATTTGGTAGTTTTATTTTTTGATGTTTGCAAATGTTGCATTTTCCCATTAATACCAGCACATTGTAGTACTTGCTGAAGTTTCAAAACAAAAAACCCTGATACATCATCAGAATGGGACCTTGAGTGCTGAAAAACATGCAAAACGGTATCAGGCCAAGTTTACTCACTCTTTGGCTTGCAAAATCCTCTGAAATTTCAATTTATCATTCATGGGCCAAAGACAATATAAATATAATATAAATTTTGCCACATACAGATAATAAGCTTAATTTTTATTAATTTTATTAAGCAAATTAGATGTACACTCAGTCGGAAGTAATTGTAATTGTAATTTACTTTTATTGCTCTGAAAGATTTCACCTTACATGTACACTATCTACATACAGATCAGTGCAGTTTCAATGTTTACATTGCAGACCAATGTAAACAATCACTTTAATTACAGAAGACAATCCTTGTCCTTGCAGAAGAAGTGAGTAAATTTAATTGGGTAAAGTACCGTATCAGTAAACAAGATGCCGCACCAGCAGAAACTACATGTATCTCCGACACTATGTAACATGTACATGTAGATCCGCACGTGAACTGTACATCTACAAGCTGTAGTATGTATGATGTTTAATTACGCACATATGAGGTGACGTACAGTGTACAATGTACTGGTATGCAGTAGGCCTGCCCAAATACATGTACCAGTATACATGTACTTTATACATGGACGCCTGTGGATAGGATCGACACCACTCTAGTTTCTATGCAAATATGCAGATGCACTGAACCTCAACCAGTGCAATATTCCTACCATATGGTTGAAAATTGGTTGCAGTATTGTCTATCCTGCAATAATCTGCAGGCCCGATTGCCTCAGACATGACAGAGTGGAAATGTGGGAAACTTTTAAAACCATTGGACGTGAGTGGTTATTAATGTTAATGCGTCTGTTTAAGTTGTGACTTGTGGAAAGCCGTGATGCAAGTAGAGTGAATGTATGTTCTGTTCATGGTATACCGTATGGATACAGTTGGGAACTACAGAATGTATCAGATCAGCAGACCATGTGGCAAGTAATGTGTCTACAGTCGCTGCAGCTAATGTGAAAAACAAACAAACTGTGCATTACATTTAACCAGTTCGTGCCCGCATTATTTCAACATTGACCGGACCCAGGCGCAGGATTGTTTTTCATGAACTTTGATGCCAGACGGGTTCATCAGGCAGTCATCTTGGGGTAGCCATGGGGGATTAAGAAGGGGTGGCACACCCTGATATATATTTCCGGCCTCGCTTGCTGCGAGTGGGACAAGCGGGTCACAGACAGATATTTCCAGCCTCGCTCGTTGTGTGGTGTTTACGTGTACATCCGTCATCTGTTCCAAGTATCACAAAACCTTTGCACGTGTACAAAATGTACGCGTCATCCGACGTGAACTGGTTTAGAACTGACTTCACTTTGTTTATTTTGGACATTTTGGACACGTGCTGCATGACCACCAACTCATCTTGTTTTCGGCAGCTACACAGTAAATGTATCGGTACGTCAAACATGTCAAACATGCTGACGTGTACATGGAGCAAGTTCAACTGAGGACATATGTGTGGACTAGTTGATCACTTGATTGACATGTAGTCTTTTGCCTTCGCACTTCTAGTGGATGTGCTAGATCCTCAATGCCTGTACTGCTTCCTAACCCCCTGTGTTGTGATGGCTATTGGTAGCCAGCCATGCAACTCACCTGCAAACATGAAATGGGCGTACTGCACCTTTTCTCAACTTTAGAAAACTATAGTGACTGGCGAGTAACTGAGTAGGATCCATAGATGGAATACTCTTGTAATGAGAAGTACGATAATATAAAGAGAGGGATGAGAACTTGTCTTGTCAGAAACTCTGAATGCTTCTGACGTGACCGTTGGTACAGTGTAATTTTGTGTGTCTCTTGACTGAGAAGTCTGGTAGTGAAAAGGAAGGCAATGATGCATGCGGAAACTTCGTACCAAGAACCTCATACAGTGTACATGTATTTGAAAATCTTGACATCTATGAAACACATGATCAATCATCAAACATTTGTCAAATGAGAAGCTGAGTGATATTAACCAAAGATGAGGTACCGGTATACGTACATGTACATAAAGTTATCATGGAACTGAATTATCAGTGAGTCTGATATATGTACCAGCACTTAGCATTCACACGATAATGGCCCAAGCAAACGATGCTCCAGTACTCAGACTGATACCAGATGTGATCCAGCACCAGCCTAGGGCTATCATGAGTCTGGATTCCAGACCACTACAGGCGTGTCGTCTGTACCTGGCTAGTGGAATAAGCACGCATGGAATCTCTAGGGATGTGTAAGTAATAGCACATGTATGTCAATACAATTGTCGTTCTTAAGTTTACTCAGTACATGTACCTTGGCCAAATGGTTATGGTGCTTACTGGTAGTTCAGTTACACGTACATGTACATGTACATGTACATGTACGTGAGTTTAAACCCAGAAAGGTTCATGGGCCTTGTGTCTTCAAGCAGGACACTTGATTGCAATTGCTTCTGTTCACCCGGAGTATACAGTTTCTCAAAAAAAAACCTACATGTACAATGTATGTAAACTTGTAGAGAGTTACATTTACATGTACATGTACAATATATTTGAGTACATTTTTTGTACTTCAACATGTTCAAGAGAATCAGTACAATTTAATTACAATGTACAATTGTTTAAACAATTCCACTTACATGGGTCAGCATGAATGTATTATGATCGTGCAGTTATTCACATGTCCTTCTCTTGTTGATGGACATAAATAAACAAAATGCATTTTGGAAGCATCATGAATACACTCTTCATTATTCACACCCAAAAAGGCCATCTTACATGTTTATCTTAAAACAAATCTAAAGTCTAAAACAAAAGTTTTAAACAAAGAATAAAATACACAGAATCAAAACAAAATACACAAAAAAAATTCTAACTCTTTCAAAATGAATATACACGTAACTACATGCACACACATCATGTACGTGCGTCTGTCAATTTTTTTTACCATGAATTGCTTGTATTCATTATTACACCACACATAAAAACACAAGTTTGTAATAGCAGGAAAAGGGTTGAAATGAAAGATGGAAATGGAAGATTAGATGCAAATCCAGGGTATTTAAATTTTGTGTGATACAACAATACCGGTAGGACCAGATGTCATAATTCACACAGGCCTAATTCTCACTCTGGTATTGTTATAAATCCAGGGATTATTGTGTGTATAGTCTACATATATATGTATACCATGTATTCATTTGTACTTTGTTATTGATTACAAAACAAACCGGCCAATATTGACATGGCAGTGCCTTCGTTCCCATTTATTTATGTACACAATGTACATCTGTACATGTACACTGTACATACCGGTACACATACAATGTATCATCTGCATACATGTATGGTTAAATCCGGATAAGAAATTCAAATTCACAATTTTTTAAAGTACATTTTGTACCTGTAAATTATTTTTCTTTGGAAAGTAGACTAACCAAGCTTTCAGAAATATTTTTGTTTTTGTTTTTCGGAACTACATGTACTGCACTTGGATTTACTTTTTATCAAGGTATTGCACATTTTGTGATCGAAATTTGAGTTCCCCTCTGTTATAAATGCACATGTAGTTCTTATGCTTCCAAAGATTTTATTATTGCTTGACTATGAAGTCTCATATGCTGTCCCTATCCACTGCTGGAGAACTTAACCCAAAAGATGAAATATGAAAGTCTTACGTTGCAATGTCCCATGTCACAAAAAATGAAAAAGTGTATTTTTACATGGAAAGATACAATGTACATGTATGCGCATGTATGTATTTTTGGTTAAAAGTTGAATTCCTATCTTCTATCAAGGTAACTTCACCTAGAAAGTAAAATGCTTTGATGTATGGTTGATCTGATATTCCATTTGAAAATCCGTCCTGCCTGTCACAATTTGCCATTACATTTTTGTCTTGTACAATGTATAAAACACACTTCTTTTTTAATCACCTCTAGGTTTAAAAAGGTTAACATAGACTCTTTTACTTGTACAAAAATGATTGATAAATTTATCAGTAAAATAGGAAAGTAAATATTAATTTTAAAAAATAGCCTCTTTAGCCTTTAGGGCAGTCTTCAATTACTGTGTCTGCCTTCTTAACCGTTAACCCATCCTTGTGCCCCTACCATTGCCTTTATAATGCAGTAATATTACCCCTAACACTTACGTGTACACCCATTGCCTTTATCATGCAGTAATATTACCCCTAACACTTATGTGTACACCCATTGCCTTTATCATGCAGTAATATTACCCCTAACACTTACCTGTACACCCATTCCCTTTATCATGCAGTAATATTACCCATCACACTTATGTGTAAACAGGCATGTGTACATTACATACCTAGTGTGGACATTCCCTTGCTTTCGTTTAGTTAAGAAAAACCTCTGAAAAAAAAACTCATTTTACTCTCACTGTGAAAACACTTTCAGTCAAATTGTTTTTTCTATGATTCCCTTTAGTGTTTCTCTTCATTTTGCCATAGATAAGTCCACTCAGTGAATGTAGTGCCTACCCACGCATACATGTAATTACCACATGTATGTATTGTATAGTAGTATTGAGCATTTTAGTGGTGTGATTAGCAGAGCCCAGGACTCCATTTTGTACATGTGTTGTTCATCTTTCTTTTGTTTTTAATTCCCAGTCATGTGAACATGGTTGACCAGCTGCAGCATCTCGAAGAAGAACAAGAACAATTGAACTCCTCGCTACTTGCTCTGACCACACACTTTGCCCAAGTCCAGTTCCGACTCAAGCAGATCGTCAATGCACCTATTGATGACAAAGAGGTATAGAACGACAAATTGTGGACTGTTGTGATGTGTGACATGGTGTTTTTGTGACACCGTTTTGTAACACCCTCCGGCATAGCTGAGGGTGTCATTTGCCATGAGGGTGTTTAGCAGCCCCTGTTTTGTCTTGGAAAGTACTGGTACTTTCAGAAGCTACAAAATCAGGATTTGTAAACTCTACTGATTCATGTGAGCTACAGGGTACATGTACATGTACATGTATATTGATTCATGTGAAATTTTACTATGACAAAGCAGTGGTGAAAATAACATGGTATGCATGCGCCATGCAAGGTTTTAGCAATTGTGTGTACATGGACATGCCATAAGTGCATTATTTGTTAACCCTATGTATCACAAGCTGTCAAAAAGCCTAACTCCTACATTGTACCTCTCTTAAGACTGTCATGTTAATTATTTCGTACATGTATAGAGAAATCGGGGTACATGGCTACTGTACACTCAGGAGGCCCCCTTCAATGGCGAAAGCATTGTACAAGCTATTGTAGCAACTGCCCCATGACAGATTATTTCAACAACAGCTAGCACAATGCTTACACCATTGAAGAGAGCCTTTGTGATAGAACATGTAGAAGTGACAGCATGCCCGGATTGGTCTATACCACATGTACGTTAAAACAAATATCACTTGCATTACAAATGTGTAAACGATTGTCACTTGGGTAACAAGTTGTAAAAATGCACAAGCACATACACTGTAAATATAGTTCCACATGGCACATAGTAATCTGAAGGACAAGTAGTTGCATTATGATTGACAAATAAACAGTTTGATTGTATCCTTCATGTACTTACATGTATACCCTGTACATATTTTTTGGGTTTGTTTAGAATTTGTTGAAGGATCTGGAGGAGTTTGCATTCAAAGGTTGTCCTGATGTCAGAGGAAGCCGTTCACAAGATGCTCAGATGCTAGAAGATGCTGTAAGTCCATGATCATGTTCAGTCCGTTTTGCAGTCAAATCTTTTTCCAAGTCTCCTTGTATTTTTTTTTATATTTTTTTAAAATAATTTTGGCAAAAACAAACAAACATGCAATGGTGTAAAAAACGAACGTATTTCATGTAAATACAAAGCCAAGGATAACCCAAAAAGCTGTTTATAAGACGGCGTAATAATTCCATCGGGGTCCTTAAAAACACACATACAAGCACAAGTACAAATAAAAAAGTTCAAAAAAAAAACTGCACTGGATCTAGCAACAGAAAAATAATTTTAAGAAAAAATCACAGAAATCACAAAAATCTCAGCTGTTTAAAAAACAAAATTAATAAGAAGAGAGATGTTCTTTCACTGCCCTTTTAAAATGAGGAAGATTGTTGGAACATTTGATGCTGTTTGGAAGTAAATTCCATTGATGAATTCCGGTATAACAAAATGAAGTGCACTCTTGCCCTTTAATTCTTGGAACAACAAAATTGGTGGAACTGCCCCTGGTAGAATAATTGTGCATATCTGAGACCTTCCTAAATTTATGACAGAGATAGTCTGGTGCCATTTCATGAAACATTTTAAAAACATGATTCAGCATGAGTTGTGTAACGCGGTCATTAACGTTTATCATGCCCAGCTTGTTCAGTTCTGCTTGACCAATATGTGATCTGGAATCCATGTTTAAAATAAACCGGACAACGCAGAGTACCAGCATGACCAGGATGAACAACAATAGTCAAAATGACATTGTATTAGAGCAGAACAGAGTGTTTTTCAGGATCTCTCATTCAAACAATTAGCATGTCTGTATAAAAATTGCAATCTAGCACCTGCTTTTTTGATTACAGAATTTGCAGTGTCCTCACCAGTTAGACTCTGATCGAGTTTTATGCCCAGATGTTTAACTGAATTTCAAGGAGTAACAATCTTTCCATTACAGCACACTTCAAATTTGTCAACACTACTAAGTTTCTGTTTGGATCCGAAGAGGATAGACTCAGTTTTGCCAAGATGCAAAGACAGTTTGTTATCGATTAGCCACTGCCTGCATTTCTGTGTTTTTGTTTGCAACATTGCATGGTAAATGCAGCAACAGTGTATATGGACATGCAACTTGTTGCCTTTGACCATGCTGACTGAGTTACATGTAGCAATTAATTTTCCCTTGGATAAACAAAAATGCATGCAAAATCAGAGGGTTTAAACAAAAAACAAAAAAACCCCAAAAAACAAAACATGCAAACGCAGTCATGTTCACACCGTCGATCGTGGGCGTATGCTGGGAATCGTGGACGATATTGTTCTCTTTTGTTCTCTGGTATTTTTCGTCCACGGTTTAAATAGATGCATGCGCCCATGCACACACACCAACTAAAGCAAAACTTGAAGAAATTTTTTTTTTTTTTTTTAAATTATTACAAAATTCAGAATTTTTGGACTGCTCTATGTTATATTCAGTATTTTTGTGTGTGTTCAAATTTGTAGGCATGTGTACCTGTATATAGCACTGCATTCTTTTCAATTGCATGACAAGTGCAGCCTGAACATTTTGTGACCTTTGCCCTTAGTGCTTTGCGTTGTACGAATACTGGAACACTTGAACGAGTATTCAAATATTTGAATATTGTACTAATGATATTGAGCATTGAGGTAAAAACGTCTTATGAATTTCATATGCGCATCGATATATATTTTGCCAAGATAGTTGATGACATGTAGATACATGTAAAGGTGGTTGACTGGGTTTTAAGATGCAAATTATGGTTAATATATACATGTATGTGCATGGAAGCTCTCAAAGCATGCATTCAGAGTGGCTGTCCACAAACGAATATGGCTTTTGACAAACAGTAAAACCTCTTTAAGGCCCAAAAAAAAAAGTCTCCGGTTTCTGGTATGGAGCTTGCCCAAAAAGTGATGCGGCCACGCGGCTTTTTTTTTTTTTTACCTGATTTTTTTGCTTCAAATGTCGGCTGATGACTGCAAATGGTGCCCGACTAAACTTAGTGCAAATATATGGGAGTCCAGAGAGGCCACATAAAGCTTATTCTCGACCATAACTCAATCTAAAAACACGTTAAAATTGTGCAGCAGCAGTATTCCAGTCAAACCAGTGAGTTTGGCGGTTTTGGGACATCATCTTTCATTAAAAAAAAAACTTTTTCATTTTGCCGACGCGCATGGCTACGGCGACGCGCGCGCATACCAGAAACCGGAGACTTTTTTTTTTGGCCTAACGTATACAAATAGAATTACATCACAGAAAATGTTTGTCATCTTCTCATGACAGCTCACATTTCGAGTATTCTCTTTGGTAAAATGCTTTCCGGATATTCCGTAGGTGATCGAATATTTAGATATTTGATACCGGGGTACATGTAATTCTGCACATCCTATTTTTGTCTGCTGTGATCATCCTGCACCAAACAAGATCAAATCATGATATGCGCATGTCCAGTTGCAATACTAATCTGTCTTGTTTTGTTGTAGCTGTGGACTGTGTTATAATGTCCCGAGTTATTGACCAGTGACCTTTGACCCTTTGGCACAGAGTGAGAAGGAACATGAGAGTCGTATCACTGAGCAGAGGGAGAAGCAGATGGAGCTGATCAGTCAGCTCAAGAGCCAGCTGGATGACTTGGAACAGTTTGCCTATGAGGTAACAATGTCTACACCATGAGTGTACGGCTGAGTTGCAATTACTTGCTCCTGCTGGCAGTAACAGGTTTTGACCTGAGTAGTAGTCCACCCGCCAAATGCGAGTGAAAACAGCGGCGGACTAGTCAAAATAAAAAATGCTGAGTCTGATGTACATTTTCTCTGTAACTGTATAATTTTGGATTTCTTGTGATCTGGCAAATTGAATGTACCTGTAGCAAAAAATCAAAAGCTTAAAGTATGGTGATCTCCAGATAAACGTGTGCCTTTTAGCCCCAACCCTCAGTCCTCCAACATCTTCCAGGCGGTTTTGGAGGATTGAGGCTGAATGGCAAAAAATGTCGGTTGATTTTGGAGGATGCATTGTGTGGAGTTTGTAGGCTGTACCCAGCATTGTTTATGTCAGCAATTGTTCTAAATGTGATCAATGCTGCCGCAACCCATTAACAGCGATTGTTGGGAGATTTTGAAGGATTGAGGCAATGGTCACCCCTCCACTGAACAAATGCAAGAAATAACGGATGAGTTTGGAGGATTGAGGCTGAATCCAATTCTTACATGGTGGCAATTGTAGGATTTTGCAGGATTGAGGATGGTTCATAGCCAAAAGGGCCTAGGTGGATAGGGTTAGTGTAAATTTGTTGCCAACATGGATTATCTGTTGGAATAATCTTTAGAATAATTTTATTTTATAACTTTGTTTCTTAATGACCGCACAACAAATTTAAATAAATGTGTACATTTTCAATCCCCCCCAGGAGGGAAGTGGAGAGTTACCTCAGAACATGATCCTGGAGAAGCAGAACGTCATCATTGAGGAGTTGAAACAGAAACTGGGCTTGAACATCGAAGACATGGACAAGCTAACGACAGATGACTTGCGGCAATTGGTGGACAGTGCAATCGGAAGAGTAAGTACTTTACTTCACACACACCATCACCAACAAGAGGACGCTACTGAGAAGCTGTTTTCACAATACATATGTTCAAAAGTTACATGAACGATATTGTTTTACAAATAAAGTTTAGGACAGCTCTCCTAAGTGATTTGAGGGGAGCGTTAATGGCTCTTCTGGAAAAAAAAAATCATGATGAACTGTTACAAACTTGTGAGAGTTTGCTGTAACATCATATGGAAGATTCTCTTTTGAAAAGATGTGTGGTTCTGAAAAGAATCGGTGGGTTGTGAACTCGACGTTCCGATCAGTATGCTCTGATCATCTCTAGGAGAAAGTTTGTTGTCTTATTTGAACAGATAGTGAATCCAGCCAAAGTGAAGGAGACAGTCATCCATCAGCTCAAGAATCAGATTGGTGATCTGGAGCGATTCATTTCATTCCTACAAGGGGAAGCATCTACGCCGGGCCTGGTGACTCCAAACAGCTGCAGCTGCCCTGTCGATGCCAAGGTTCGTAACCACTCCTAGGCATTAGACCAAACATTAACTTATGTTGCTTTTTGACCAGTTCGCCACAGACTTCCAAATATGGCCGCTGATCTTCTACGCGTACATACAGCGCAAGCTGTATCAAGACTAGATGCGCTCTTTGGTCACGTACACATATTGTAGTGATCTAAAATGGACAAGTTTCTGTCTTGGTTATATTCCCCAAAACTTTAATCTACGACGTTCAAAAAATGAACCGCAACGTTTGAAACACTACGAGAGGTGACAGACAAAAGGAACCAGAACACTTCAAAAGTGAACCTCAATGTTTGAGAACAGCACATCTAAGATGACAAGTTGTCCTTTTTAGAACACCAACGTGTCAATATGGCATCAAAGACTTCATTCTGCGGTTCTCTGTACGCTATCCAGTCAGTGTATGGAGATCAGTGGTATTAACACTGTACGCTATCCAGTCAGTGTATGGAGATCAGTGGTATTAACACTGTACGCTATCCAGTCAGTGTATGGAGATCAGTGGTATTAACACTGTACGCTATCCAGTCAGTGTATGGAGATCAGTGGTATTAACACTGTACGCTATCCAGTCAGTGTATGGAGATCAGTGGTATTAACACTGTACGCTATCCAGTCAGTGTATGGAGATCAGTGGTATTAACACTGTACGCTATCCAGTCAGTGTATGGAGATCAGTGGTATTAACACTGTACGCTATCCAGTCAGTGTATGGAGATCAGTGGTATTAACACTGTACGCTATCCAGTCAGTGTATGGAGATCAGTGGTATTAACACTGTACGCTATCCAGTCAGTGTATGGAGATCAGTGGTATTAACACTGTACGCTATCCAGTCAGTGTATGGAGATCAGTGGTATTAACACTGTACGCTATCCAGTCAGTGTATGGAGATCAGTGGTATTAACACTGTACGCTATCCAGTCAGTGTATGGAGATCAGTGGTATTAACACTGTATGCTATCCAGTCAGTGTATGGAGATCAGTGGTATTAACACTTTTGTGCTTGGCAAGTTTCTGTGTTTTCATCAAATGTGCTATCCAGTGAGACTCCTTGGGAAGGGAGTTGGTTCCTGAGGATTTTTATATAGGCCCATTTAGGATGGCTAATTATAATAATGTCAAGTGCTATGATATAGTAAAAGTGATGTTATTTTTTACACATAATTTGACTGGCATTGAGGTCACTAGTAAGTTTGTTGCGCAGCTGCGCAGTAACTTTGTTGCGTAAGTCCTACTCATGGGGTAAGTTACGCACCGTTTCGTGAAATTGGTTGCAGACACTATACACCAGAAATTGCGTTCACGCGATACTTGACATGTATCTAGGTCACATGCATCACAAATTTCATGTACTAGCTTGTATTAGTGAACCCCACGTAACCGTGTTATTGCCAATCATGAGAAAGATCAAGTGAGAGATGTGTCATGTCTGAAAAACAAAGAGTGCTGCACGGTACCTCTATACATTTGTATATTCATTATGGTCAGTGAGTGAATACAGCTAGAATTCTTTGATTTGACTATTTGCCAGGATGATACCATTTCTGAAGCTGACTCAGAAGCTCCAGACTGCTGTGTGCATCCCAAGGCAGGCAAGCTTGGCAGTAAGCAGAGCACAGCAGAGAGGATAAAGGTCTGTACACTCTGCAGTCTGTCAGTCATTATCACATGGTCTCCTGTACATTTGGGGTCAGAATCTACCACACTACTTGCATCTCTCTTGTATAATGTGGTGCCAGTGTACATGTGTAAAAGCTTTTATAAATATATTGAAAACAACACAAAATCTTCAAATGGTCCTGATGAATACATAGTTTAGGTAACTTAGCAAGACTTTAGACAGGGGAAAAGCTGTCCCTGTCCCCGTACCCAGAGACAATCCCCCTGTCATGCCCATGAATCTATGTACAATTCGGGCCATTCACAATGCAGTGCGCCACCAAGAGTTCATTTTTTTCCAGTGCATTGTGGGAGATGATTGACAATTCACAGTGCAGGACATTTGAAATTGTTCGTTTTTCCGGTCAGTAGTTTTGTATAGCATATATTTTGAGTATGTTTGCCCTTTTCTTTGCTTTTTTTCAATATCGTGTTTTTGCAAAGCGGACGAATGGTATGCCCCAATCTATACCAACTTACAATGTAGCTCAAGTTGTCTACTGACACTCATTGAAAAATGAACTCTCCATGGCAAACTCTTGGTGGCGCACTGCATTGTGAATGGCCCGAATTGGCATATTGTGAAATGACCAAAACAAGTTGAAGTGCTCTGATACCATGTACTCTACAGAAGATGCGTGAGAGCCACATTTCCTCCATGAAGAAAGCCTTGGCCCTGCTGCAGTATATGGCCATCACTCAGCTTGGCTGCGGTACCGACAAACTCAAAGAAAAGAAAACTGCTAAGCCAGATGCATCTGATGATTACCGGTAAGGAATAGTAGCACTTGATGATGACAGACAAGCATCCTTAGCCTGTCCCTCTTACATGTTTCCTCAACCTGCATGTAGTTGCTGTCCCCGTGCTATGTTTGAGTTTCAACTCATGGACTATTAGTTACATTGGCAGTTATCAAGCTGTATGCTTGCACCAAACAAAAATAAGCCCATTTTTATTACATATAAAAGAGCAAACATAGACACAAATAAAAGCTGTTTTTGGAGAGTTGCAAATGCCGAAAATGAAAATTGTTTTGTTTTTACCCCTCAGCCGAGAGGCTTGAGGGGTGTTGGCATCCGTCCCTCCGTCCGGCTGTCCGGCTGTCCGTATGTCGGGCCGGCCGTCTGTCCTGGTAGCTTAGTTTCCGGATGATAACTTGAATTAGAAATGTTGTTTGGGATTGTATCTACGGTAGGCGGTTGCCCTTGGGAGTAGGCAAGATGGGATTGGATTTGGGGTCAAAAGGTCAAAGTTCAAGGTCACCGTGGTAAGTTAAAGGTAAATGGTTTCCGGATGATAACTGAAGTTGGAAATGAGATTTGTTGGTGTCTAACTTTGGTAGGGGGTTGCCCTTGGGAGTAGGCAAGTTGGGATTGGTTTTGGGGTCAAAAGTCAAAGGTCAAGGTCACGGTGGTGAGTTAAAGGTAAATGGTTTCCAGTTGATAACTTGGGTTAGAAATCACATTTTGGTGTCTAACTTAGGTAGGGGGTTGCCCTTGAGAGTAGGGAAGTTGGGATTTGTTTTGGGGTCAAAAGGTCAAGGTCACTGTGGTAAGTTAAAGGTAAATGGTTTCTGGATGATAACTTGAGTTGGAAATGATATTTTGGTGTCTAACTTAGGTAGGGGGTTGCCCTTGGGTACAGGCAAGTTGGGATTGGTTTTGGGGTCAAAAAGTCTAAGGTCAAGGTCACTGTGGTGAGTTAATGGTTTCTGCATGATAATTTGAGTTAGACATGATATTTGAGTTTAGAATGTGAGTTTGCCCTTTTCGACAAACTTCGGCTGAGGGGTTTCAACAGCAATGCTGTTATTTTTTGTTTTTCAAACTCTTTCCTTACTAAACTGTTTATTGATTAGGCTCTCCCCAGAACCCAATTTTCTCAGTCATGCAGAAATCACTAGAGCGTGAAAAATGGACCACAAGTTGAAAACTCTCTTTTTTCAACCCAGATTTCACTGCCAAGGAGAGATTACAATCAAAAATGTTGTGTGTAAAGTTCAACAAACAAGAATGTACAGTATAAGGAAGCAAAAGTACATTTGAGATAGAGTACAAATCAATGTTTGCACACGCACTGGGCAAGGGTCTGTGATGATGAATGTATAACATAGAGTGCATGTACTTCTCAATGAAATACCTGTGGTGTTTATTTTGTTGATTTATCTGGTTTTACTGCAGTGAGATGCTGAAAGTTCTGGATGCTGCCGTCAATCATGTGATCATGTTGGCACGGCAACAGCAAGAAAGCCCTGCGGAGGATAGCGACTACACAAGTGATTCCTCAGATGTAAGTAGGCCTACCACTCTCTGTTTGCTATGGTAACCATGTCAGACATATTGTAAATGAAGTCAAGAGGCACATACAGTAGAGTTATCAAACAGAATCCTTGAAATGTGCCTTATTGTATTCCCTGTTTAGTCTTTGTACTGCCCTGTTTAGTCTTTGTATTGCCCTGTTTAGTCCTTGTATTGCCCTGTTTAGTCTTTGTATTGGCGGGCTTAATGGTGGCACTCTTTATTATGAAGTTCTCCCATTAGACTTGTGCACTACATGTCCATGTTGCAATGCATAGAGGCCTTGTCAAGTCTAGTATGCCCCATCTATGTTTGGAGTTGTTTACTGAACACTGTTAATCACATGTTTCCAGTTGTTTACAGGCAGGGGACATGACAGGATGTTTTATGTAAAAACACTTTCTGGGGGACATATGAACACATGGGCAAGGTTAAGCAACCGTTTATAGTCAGTGGGCCTTTCTGACCCAAGACTTGTAACTGTGAACATTGACTTCTATGTGCACAAGGCCCATTGACAGCCTGTATTTCTCACTCTTCATCTTGGCAGAGTCCAGTCAACAGACCTTTGGATGATGTGACTGTCGCAGTGAGGAGAGAGCTTGCCCCGGCACTCAGAGATCTCTTTGAACATGGACAATTTAAAGTAAGTCAATGGCTTCAAATCACTCGCAAATGTCTTATTCATAATCATCTGTAAATACATATTGGCCTTTTCTTTAATGGACATTTGGGTGCACAGTCCTGGCTGTGATCGGTCCAAGCATCCAGGGCAGGGCTTCAACTATTGTGAAGGACTATTATAAGCACCACGCTATAATTCTGATATTTGTTTTTGCATTGTAGCATTCTAGTTCCAGTGATGCATTGATCACTCCAATCACAGCCTGCCTTGCCACCCACCGAAACACTTCCAGCCAGAAAGTTCATGCTTGGGACCTCTTTGTCAAATACTATGATATCAAGGTGAGAACGGTGGGTTATGAACAAGTGTAGATTCATAGAATATGCACTCAACGGTACAGAGAGAGAGAGTCAGTTGGGACTGCATTGCCAGTGTACATGGTGTATGCCTAGTGCTCAGGTGAAGTTAACATTGGTGTTTACAAAACCAGAATATACTACAATGTGGAGTGCAGTGGTCTCATGATCTGGAGCATTGAATTCGTGGTCTGCAGGTAATTCTGAGGGTTGTGGGTTCGAGTCCAGCCTGGGGTCATGGTGCGTGTGCCCTTGGGCAAGGCACTTTATCACTCATTGCTTCTCTCCACCCAGGAGTAATGGGTACCTGTGAGGGCAGAGATGGTTATTGTGATTGAATCAGCTTCCTTACGCCTAACATGCTGCATCACGCCAGGGAGCTGAGATGGTATTTGGAATTTTCAATTGGCCAAATGATCAGGGTTAATGATAAAAATGTAAAGCACTTTGATCTCATTTGAAAGTACTATATAAGAAACTGTTATTATTATTATTAAATTGTGTGTATTCCGCGTTATGTACGCGCTGTGCACCAGTGTGTGGTGTGCACCAGTGTGCACATGCCCTGCATGCCTCCTATCAAGTGCCGTCTCCTGTTCATGCTTAGAAACAATTTCATTTCATCATTTGATTTGGTTTAAGGACTTCACCTTTAAGAACCGTATGGCCTAATGCAAAATTCAATTCACTATTGAAGCGCTTTGGAAGATCCCTGATAACGAATCATCCTAAATGCATATTTTCATTCAGAGTAGGAAAATGGCTTCAGGCAGGGGCGGGGGGGGGGGGGGGGGGGGGGGGGGTGAGCACCTTCTAGCAGTTTGTACTGCAGTGCAGTAAGCATGATAATGTTTCTTTTTTCTGTTGGTTGCTCATTTTGGCAGCGTGGGGTCGGGGGGATTTTAAATTTTCCAGTGGGAGTTTGAGGAGTGCCATACTTTAATGTAGATATGCCTAATGATACCGATGACCCTAAGCATCCAAGGCTACATGTATGCTTACTGATTACTTCCAATTTGTAATTACCAATGTATGAAAGTTTGAACACACATTTGACACAGGTATGTAAAAAAAATTGCAAAAAATCGCAAAAGGTCTCAGAATCGGACTTATGATTTCTTTCAATTCAAGTGTTGTTTAAGTCAAATTTGTAAGCAATTGTTGTTTATAATTTTTTTTTCCAGAAGGGAAAGGCTTTTGCTATGTCTCCAGCCAGGAAGCTGTCTCAAGCCTTTGATATTGATATCGTAGGAGGCACAGCCATTACTGCTAAGCAGACTCTGTTAGCTGCTATTGACTACGTCAGTGGCTCTCATGAACCACTCAAGCGAAGCAAGGAAGCACAGTTTAAAGCCTTCGTGTCAGAAGCACTCAAGTAAGTCAATTTGATCTTATACCACAAAAGGGGTTTCAAAACCTTCACCTCCATCTCTGGCTGTGGAATCATTTAGAAGCCTTTAATATTCAAATTAAATATAAAATTCATACTGATGTACAATTCAGAAAAAGGAAAAGTGGTATGACAGAAAACGTGACAAAGCATTTTTACTTGACACTTTGGGGGCTAACATTTAATCCTTTGTTTGATTTCTTTAGGATTTTATGGAAGGTCTTAGATATTGGCTCAACATTCCCAACTTTTCTTGAATGTACTACACCCTCAATAGCTTATCTCGTGACTTGAGACAGGACATGCAATATGACTTGTGACAGCTTGTGATATCTTGTGAAGACTTGTGACAGCTTGTGATAACTTCCGATTGACTTGTGACGGCTTTTTGTGATATCTTGTGATGACTTGTGAGAACTTGTGATATCTTGCCATTGAGTTTTGACTGCTTGTGATGAATTCTGTTTGACTTGTGACGGCTTGTGATATCTTGCCATTGACTTGTGACAGCTTGTGATAACTTGTGATTGACTTGTGACAGCTTGTGATATCTTGCCATTGACTCGTGACAGCTTGTGATAACTTGTGATTGACTTGTGACAGCTTGTGATATCTTGCCATTGACTTGTGACAGCTTTTGATTTCTTGTGATGGACTTGTGACAGCTTGTGATAACTTCTGATTGACTTGTGCCAGCTTGTGATTGACTTGTTACAGCTTGTGATAACTTGCGATGTCTTGCTTACAACTCTGTCTCTCTCTCTCTCTATAAACAGTGGGCAGAAACTGGCCATTTGGTGTCGACTGATCAGCAGAACAACATCTCTGATAGATTATCATTACTATCCCTGGAGCTACATGATGAAGAATAGTAAGTAAAACTCAGTTGATAAACAGCGACAAGCAATGTACATGGCACAGCAAGTCTTTTCGTTACTAAGCAAATGTGTATGCTTAGCATCTGTGTGAAATCAGCAACAGAGCCAAGATAGCACTGCTAAACTGTTAGTTAATTGAAATGTTTGTCCTTTACAAAAAAAATATGTGTGCGCATGCATGAAGATTTACAAAACTTGCTGAACTGTTAGTGAAAAGTGTCTCTTTTACTCAAAATACCTGCTGTACTTCAGTATGTTCCATAGCCTAAACTAATGTCTGTGTGTCTATCAAGATTTCCAATTTTATTGCTCACACATTTTGCATGTCAAATCTTCCGTGAGATATTTTGAGGTTGTGTTCAGACTATGCCCGATGGTGCACGCATTGTAGTCCCTCATTGAGATTTGTTTCCTTTAAGACTTCTTCCAATCAAGAAATTCTACACCTGAACCAAATCACTTCTCTATCCTTCAATATCTTTGGACATGTTTCCTTTTCTGTTTGCAGGTTTTGATGGTGCACTCCAACTTCTGGACAAACTCAGTGAGATCAAATTTCGACTGAATGTGGACATAGCAGTGCAACAGTTCTACAACATCAAAGATGCCTTCTGATTGGTCTGTATTGTGAAGAGCGTTATTTGGAACTTCTGATTGGCTGGACGTTTCACACCTTGTATTCAGTTTGAACTCTAGCTGCCCAAACTGGCAAGATTCCCTTTTGTTTTCTTAGATCTTTTCTGATTGGTTAACGAACATAACCAGGTTGTCAGCTGTGCAATCACATTCATTGTCTGATGGACAACACCTCACCTTGATATGAACTGTTTTACTGTCCAAGTTGAATATGATTTCACATGGATAAACTTGTAGTATGGATAAGTTTTAAAGTTTTAAAATTGTAGGTTTGTAATATTTTTATTTATTTTAAATTAAAAATATACTAGTAGTTAGTATAGGTTTAAAAATAACTGAGTGCAAAAACTCTAATGTAAGGTGTATATGAGAAACAGCTGAATCCACTGTCAATAGTTGCGCATGTTACTGCCATCTGTAGTCAAGCAATTCAGATTGAGCTGTGCATCATAGGTTCCTGATGGAAGTGTAGTCAGAGTAGATAAGGCTCATTAGTCACTTTGTATTCTTACAGAAAAGGGAGTAAACATATGATTCCAGCTGCATTTTATGTGCAAATCTAAGATGTGATAAATGTCTTCTTTTTCATTCAAAATTGATTTGAGCACTGCCTTGGTGTAAGGAGTTCAATGTTCAGGCATCTTACCATGTTGTTGTTTGTTTTATTTCTCCTTTGAAGTAAAATATGAGTACTGATGTTTGTGTTGGCCAAAGCAGCACAATGGGAGAGAAGTGATATTTTGGCTTCATCAGAAATATGACACAAACCACAATGCAGGGGGCCAGTCCAGTTAACAGTGTTTGAAACCTACTGACCCCATTTTACAACGTATTGTGTCATAAATATGAGGCAATAAGTTCATATCTGTCCAACGTGAATGTTGTGATCACCTTGATAAATTCACCTAGAGCCAATTAATATTGGTGTTGGAAAAACTTGGTCACCAATTTTAGTTTCCTATTATTATTTTTTTAGATTCAATGACTGAATTTTTTGTTCTAACAGGCGAATGCCAAGTTATTCATGTTACCTTTGTACATAGCACGAACACTTATATATATATACATTTGTGGTAATTTACGGAGAAATTATATGGAAATCTAAACAAAAATTTGAAATTTATTGATTTATAACACAGTGTTAAAATTTTGCACTGATGTGATTTGAGAGTGATCTCTGGAAACATTCCAAATGTTTAAGTTAGCTTAGTGGAATGACGACAGGTTCACGTCCAGGATGTGTGTAACTTACAATCAGATGTCAATTAGATATTAGAGAGAAAATAATGGTTGGGATGACCCTGACAAATAAGAACATACATGCAGTGCAGTTTGGTCCAGACGTAGATTGTAATGGAGCTGCTGTTGATTGGCAAATTGAAAGCAAAACGTACAATGTAGCAGAGACCATTCACAAACAATATTCGTTATGTGCAATTGTAGCTAGTTACCTTGTTTAGCTCAGTAGAATTATATCAGCTGGAAAATCTTTAGCTCCAGGAAAAACGTAGGTTGCAGGCCGCATTCAGATCTTGTTTTTTTGTCCTTCAAATGTAGCTGCATGTAGTGCATGTACTTGACAAGCTTGACTTACACAAATATGAGTCCCTATCCCCACTTTGATACTGTGGTGGATGAAAGGGATGATATGACGTAACTGTAAACTTGAATAAACCGCTTTCAACGTGTCACATTTTCATTACATGTACAGTATATGATAAATATGGAATGAATTGCCCAAAGAACAGGACATAGGAGCTAGATTTCGTCAATGTATTTGTTTTTAATGAGAATTTTAGTGGAAACAAAAGCAAACAAATTTGGACTGAATTTCATGTGGAAAATTTCAGATGTGGCTTTGAAATCTAAAAGGATCACTTATCCTTTTGCCTTGCTTAATTCCTTCATCTGCACTAGTTACATTAATGTTGAGAGTGGTATTTAAGGTACAGAGGGATTGGTCGTTGGTCTTCTAAGAATGCAGTCATTTTTAAGGTAGGGCTGGTTTCAAAGACCAACCACCGATTGCAGGGCGTTGCTTATTGGTTGCAACAAACAATTTGTACTAACCTTCAGCACCATTGTGTGGCATAGATGTCCTAGTGGTTGCACATGCATGGAGATTTGTATATTGTCAGTACAAATGTAATACTGTATCTGCAAATGAAGTTAGCTGACATGCTTGGTGAAATAGACAAGCTCAGTTAACACAGCAACAATGGTCGTGTTTCAAATACTAGGGCCCAGTTTTATTTGAACTAGGAACGAACTTCATTGTTAAGCAAGTGGACCTGCAAATCAATATTCAACCATGTGAAAGTCGGTTGCAGGTAATATTCATTGCATTGCATTAAGTCCGATAGCCTTTTTTGTAAAGCAAATTTTGTGTGCTTAATTTGCAGAAAGTAGCCCACGCTATAAATAATGGAAGAGTTGCCAAGCCTAGCATTTAAAAAAAAAATGTACCAGGAAGTTTTCTGAAAAAGTTTGCTGTCAGAAATACAGCATATTGTCTGCATTTACTAACTTTATATTGTCACAATAGACGGCCAATTTCTTTTTCTTTAATTTTTTTAACTGGAAGCCAGGATTTCACTTTTTTTGTGGACATTTACTGATGGTTTTCAGTGATAACCCTGAAAACCTGATTTTATTTTAGATAATACTAACAGCAGGGGGTACCATGCAGCTATGGTATGTATTGTAGTTAATTATAGTATGTCTGTAAAGATGTGTTAGGTTCATGAAAGGGTATGGGAGATGGAAAGAAGTAAGGTCAATAAGAAACAAACTAGAGCTGTAATCCAGTCCAGCCGAGTCAAATCGCAAGTTATTAGGATAAGAATATCTTTGTCACAGTTCATTTGAATAGCTTGTCACGTGACTTGAGAATGGATAACTTAATTGTGATTGACGTGTGACTCGATTACACATCTGGAAATAACTTTTTAGTTTAATCGATACTCTGTGTGCGGAGTTGTAAAACAGTACTGTACTATATAAGTGTTAAAGGGTATAAAGACGTGTAAATTAGTTTAATTACGAAGTTTGTGCAACAATATGTAACACTAATATTCTTCCAGAGGAATTCTGTTTAAATCCAGTGCAATACTAAATGTCACTTGGTTTATTTAATTTCACAAGTGGAGTTTTAGGGTAGAAATTTGACACGTGTATTTTTTTCTGTCCAAGTTAATTAAATTTGTGTTGAATTTCTCGAGAGTAGAGTATATCATTGAGTGATTCATGTGTCTCCATACCAGTGGCGTTGGGACACCATCTTCCCAAAACCTATATCATGGTTAATGTTAGACAATAACTACCGCTATTCGCTTTCCACGGACGTTAAAATAAACAGCCACTCGCGAAAAGACAGATTTTTGGTGGAAAATACGCACACAATCGCGGAAAAGGGACTTTATGTTCTTCCAGCTTATCGTGGTAACTCATACGGCTGTGCTTTTCTCCGGATGCCAAATTTCCGGGGGGGGGGGGGGGGGAGGGGGCGCCCCCCCCTCCCCACTATACGCCACGACCCCACGTACCTCACTTTCAAAGAGAATGGCAGTCTTTAAGTCTGTGTGCCCCGGTGTCACACCATTCACTGCCCAACTCTCGAGCGGGTCTCTGGTGGCTGCCGGGTGTAATGCTGTAACTGGACGATTTCGTGGCTATATTGAAGGTGGTGGGAACTTGAATACGAAGTGACTTTACAGTGGAGAGATTTACGACACATATATTTCCAATTTACAATGTTCAAGTTCAATTGGACATATTGCAGGGTGGAGTCGTAAAGTTTGTATTGTTTGAAGGTTTAAAAAGTTGCAAGTGGAAAAGATGTTCAAAGTTGAGATTTGAAAACATCTTGCAAAATTTTTTTAGAGGGGGCAAAGCAATTCCCCCCCCCCACAAATCCCTATATTTTCCAGCATTTTCCAGATTGATAATTTTTTCTAGGGTGGGCAGGGACATTTGCCCCCAACCCATTAAATTAATAACTATATGATTTCGCGCCTCTTTTTTTCGGGGGGGGGGGGGCAGGCAAGCGCCCCCTTGCCCCCCTCTCGCGACGCCCATGATCTTGCGTGAACGAAAACCTAGATATTTTGTGGAAAACGATTAGTGATGCGCCAAATACGTGCTGAAATAAAACAACACAATATCGGACAAACAACGCCACCTGCTGACGCTCAAGAGCATGGCGGCGAGGTTTTTTTCGCTGGAAATTATAGAATGTGGCGCCAGGACATTTTTCTTTTCAATTTTAATAGCAGTAGAGGTAGTTTTTAATTTTTTTTTTTTTTTTTTTTTTTTTTTTTTTTTAAATATTCCCCTCCCCCGAACTGCCCCTAAAATGGTTGCCATCTAAATGTAGAACCCCCGCCTCTATGCAAAATAGGCCCACAAGTTCAGGTTTTTTGTGAACGAAATTCCCTAAGTTGGCAGCCAAAAGTCACAAATGCTTGATCTCCAGAAAATGTTCTACAAAATGCCCCAAGTACAGGCCGCAATGACCTCTTATTCAAAATTACCCGTGGGATCACAAAATAGTAATTAGCTAGCGCACACTAATTTTCAGGTTTTGGTAGTGTGCACACTTTAAGAAACGTTTTGGAGCCTTTTGTGAAAAAAATATGACTTATAACAGAGAAAATTTACCTGAAATACAGTAACCACAACAACAAATTAAATGCGGTTGCTTGCTTTTCTGAAATGGGGCATAATTTGGTCTGTTGCTACTGATTGCTGCAGTGTTATCCAAAGGTGCACATGCATTGTCAATGCAAACTCAAGTCCAAATCCCTTCCGCCTCCAAAAAAACCCATAAAGGGCACACTGAAGAGAAACTGAGTCGGAAAAGCCAACTAAACAGACACTTTATTATTATTGTTCTCTAGATTTACTTGGGGGGGGGGGGGGAGAGGGGAGTTCATTATAAATTGGTTGAAACTTGCAGGTTGGAGAATATTTCAGATATTTATTCGCAACTATTCGGTCATTAACAACCAGTCAAGCCTCTGCAAAACGAAATCCAACAATTGAATTATTTGTGCCTTGTTTAATCCATTCAATAAACTTCAATTTCACCAACCAGTTCATTTTTACAATAATAATATAGGTTTTCCCGGCCAACAAGTTTTCATTCAATTTAGCACCTGGCTCATTCCATTTAGATTGAAATTGAAAGATCATAATATTGACAATCCAAAAGAATCATTCAACTTTACTATCCGAGCAATCTATCGCATTTAGCTTCACTCGTCCCTGTAAAAAATGCATCTAAAAGATGTTCATTCAATTTTGTCTGAATCAGTAGAGAAAGGAGTTGATTGGGCATTCATTTTCATTAATGGGCAAACATATCTCACATTTTGTCAAGCATGTTTAATACTTCCTACATGTACAATTCTGAATTAGGCTCGTCGTAAATCATATCCGATGTCTTCAATCCGTTAATGCACGCCTCTCTTTCTTAATTAAAGGGGCCGTGCAATGATTTTTTTTCTCAGGAATACATTTCGCGCAACTTACTGCTACTCGAAAATGTATGAAAACTATTTCTGACATCCTGTACTGAGTTTTAGTGCAAAGTACACGTCTTTGACATATACAAGTTTCCACTGCTTTTCCGAACTAATGAGCGCGCTGTTGCTGTGATGTGAGTTCCGGTAGACAGTGTTAATTCGAGGGGTTTTCTTTCAAATTTTTGGTACATCTTGTATCCCTCATTTCAGTTAATTTGTTATATTGTCAATATTACAGTCACCCAGATTTTTTGGGGGAAAATAGTCGGAGAAAAAAAAAGGAAAATATATCCATTAAAAAAAATCTTATCAGACAATTTGAATGACCAAACGATGAAAGTGATTGTCCATAAACGAATAAGAAAGGAAAAGCATGGTAATATGTCTGAAACACCTTGGAGAGTTGTGAATTTGTGTCATAATTTTGGAAAGGGCGCGTAATTATTACTGAGAGATCTTTGAATTCATGCCCGTATCATGCAGAACAAAGGATAGTGCGCCCCCTGTCGACGTGACAGCAGTCTGTGCATGTGTACTGTGTACTGTGAGCGCTCATATTTTGTCGTGGAGTCGTGCTCATCAATAAGACATAAATCTTGCTGATTGAGAGATATTTGTGTGATTATTGGTATTCACAATGAGTGGAGGAGTCTACGGAGGAGGTATGTTTCTGATATTTATTGATTTATTGAGTTAATTGTTATCACAACCAAAGCAATAAGTTAAGTTGAGAGTTAGGCGTTACACAAAACATTCACGACAGTATTTCGTATTGCATATTTGCATCAATTTCGTGAAAATAATTAAAAGACGGTACAGTCGTTTTCCTAGTTCTGGATAGCCCCATAAATGTGGCCAATTTACTGGACCACCTCCGTAAATAAAGGCCACGCTTGGAACATGCACCCGAAAGTGTAGAACTTTGTGTTCGTCAAACTCAAAGTTTGATTTTCACATAGCTGGAGTTACCCAGCCCTAAATTTTATCATTGGGTTGTCATTTAGGGCTGGAGGACACTTTTCACGTAAACCAGCAGAGTTGGCAGGTCCCAAAAAAAATTGCAAAAAAATTGCAAAAAAGTTCAATTTTGTCCCTGTTACACACTAATTGCAACTGTAACTCACCCCAAACTTGCCTGGAATAACCATTACACAGGTCCTTGAAGTAAAAAACGATCCACGATGAAGATTCAGCCTTCAATTGCAGTGAAAAAAGGAGGAATAACTGCTAACCTGACAACCTTGCAGGCATGGCGAGGACTGCAATTGGTTTGTGCACAAAAAAAAATTGTGTACAATGAATGGCGGTCGATTACCATGCACAGCGCGCTGGTACTAGTCGTTTTTGCCGGCTGCGCTGGATGTTGGCACATGACGTCACGCGGAAGCGTAACACCCGATGACTGTTTCATACACTATCGGTTGCCGTTCCAGTACCGCAGCTGTGATGCGAGTGGTAAACCTCATAAAAACTTGTATTTTTTTTTTTTACTTAGCCTATCCTGAGAAAATAGGGCCTTCCCAAAGGCCCTGTTTACATATAATGTACATTTCATTTCTCTAGGGAAAATTGTTGGAGCCAAAAAGTCTCACATTATTCCCTGGAAATGACATGAATACTGTACCTTGATAGGACGGTTTGTTATTCATGGTGGTATCATTTCTTTCTCTTAGATGAAGTTGGTGCCCTGGTCTTTGATGCTGGATCTTACTCAACCAGAGCTGGTTATGCAGGGGAAGACTCACCCAAGGTAAAAACTGCATCCTGAAACAAACGGTAGAAGGTGTGGGCACAATTCCGCCTCAGCTGAGAACAAGAGAAAAATGATGGCCACTTCAGTGTTATTTGTCTCTATGTGTCTTTCCTCACATGTGTTGCTGTGCTAAGCAATCTTGGTTTGTCCACATTATGAAAATGAATAGTGTGTACATTTGTACCCCTTGTCATACATGTAAGTATGGATCAGTATGCGGATGAGACCCTCACATTGGCTCTAGGCTGTGTACATTTGTGTGTTTCAAACTGAGTATACAGTGTTTACTTGTCAGTGAAGGGCAAAAACTTAACATCACCCCGACGCAAATTCCATCTATATGAATGTGCGTACATGTTTTGTAGACCATGTACATGTACATATATGTGCATTTGCATGTGCAGCTTCATTAACCCTAACCCTCCAGGGTATTTTGGCTAGATACCCTGCCAAACGCAGCAACATGCAACACTTGTCTAAGTGACAAGCCTGCCCAGTGCAGCAAGATCCATCAGGCAAAAAGTCTCAAGGCCAAACTGCCTCAGAGTCTGTGGTCCCCGAACGCAGCAGGATACAAGTAAGGCATTGTTCTATGGGACTAGCTCTCATTGTCTCAGAAGTGGCAGTTTGTGCACTGGTGTTGGTAGCTGAATGCATCAAAGTGCACCAGACTTTTCCACCTGGTGCACTGTGTTGAGTCTGGCAGGGTTAGGGTTAACTGTTTCTACATTGCTCCATACTAGACACAACTAAAATATTTCCTTAACATTGAGCTCCATGTCTAATATCGACACAGAATTTCTACAACTATGTTCATACATGTATACATGCTACATGCATGAACCAGCAAACTTCCTATCAAACATCGCTATATCACAAAGACATTGGTGTTCACAAAAGATTGTGTGGTATGGCAGTCATTCATTGATCTGATTTCTGGCTGCTGGTACTCGGTATATACATGTACATGTATGTGAAGTGCTGTGGTCCAGTGGTTACATTATTTGCCCATGTACTGTGGTACATGGGTTCAAGGCACAAGGCACTTTACTACAATTACCTCTCTCCACCCAGGAGTATAAATAGTTACCTGTAAAGGTAGAGACCAGAATGCGCTGATCTCGAGCTGCTGCTAAAAACTGGTCTCATGGCCTGATGAACAGGGGGAATAATTGTGAAGCACTTTGAGACCATATGCACCACATTTATTTATGTATGTTATTGTACATAATTCAGGAGTCATAGGGGTTATTTGTGAAAGCCAAATGATTGATACAGCAGTGTTGTATCATACAATTGACCCATCACCATTTGCGAGTTTGCCACGCCCCTTAGACAACCCTACGGAATGTTTGTAAGCCAAGTTTGTTTGTCTCAGATGTTGTGCGTTCCGTGTCCATTTGTATATCCTGTAATTGGACAATATTTCACAAGCTGCGTTGACATGATTCTACCGCGATTCTACCGCGATTTACTAAAGGTGTTGCAGAGCTTTCCATGTACATCATGTACGTGATTCAACATGTACATACATCTACATGTACGTGTCAACCTGGACTCAAAAATGGAGCATTTGACATTGTTGTACATGTACTGATGTAGTAGGAATCCAAACTAAATTTCCAGCTGTGGACATGTAAGTTGATCATAAAAACACAAGTACCATTTTTGTTTTCAGGCTGAGATCCCGACAGCTGTGGGTGCCCTTGAAAACAAAGAGCTGGAATCATTAGACATTGACGGTCTCGGTGCCCCACCCTCAATCCGCGATGGAGCCAAGAAAAAATACATCATTGATGTCAACTCACTGGGTGTGCCCAGAGCTGGGATGGAGATGGGCAACCCACTCAAGGATGGCATGGGTAAGACCTGGCACACAAGGGCCGGCCAATCACAATCAATTCTACAGTTGGAATAGGAATCGTTTATGATGAATTTATCCCATTCACAGTTCCCAGTAACAATTCAATTCTCCTAACAATAGACCGGACACTTCAGAGCAAGTTTATTTCATTCAGAATGCCCATTTTGTCCATAAATGAATTATCATATTACAAGCTACATGTAGTATACCCCGACCTTTCAAAAGCCAATGTTTTGGGACAATTCCATAAAATCCATAATTGTTTTTGTTTTTATGAATAGAAATGGATTCAAATGGAATTGTGACTCCTGCATGGAATCAGAATTGCCTAAAAAGCTTAAAAAGAAGCTACATGTAATCGGGAGGCTCTCCAACTATATAAGCTTGACATGCTTGCAGTTAATTGTATGCATAACACGTACAGCAGTACGGCACTGGGGAGAGATGCTGGGGTTGTTGCACATGTTTGAAACAGGTTGGGCTGATGGCTGAAACCGAAATGGTCCATTCAGTAGTCCTATGTTATGACCCAAGTACGTGCACTTGAAACTAATTTACAAACCGTGTGCAAAGCACAGTGTGCACTCCCTTGCATTTTGTTCATCTGTTGTGACTTTTATCTCTTTTTTTTTTGCAGTTGATGATTGGGATATGTTTGGGGCTTTGCTAGACCACATCTATAAACGTTACATCCAGTCCGACTCAGCTGAACATCCAGTACTTATGTCAGAACCCCCAGTAAGTCAAGCATTGTATGTTGGTTTATTCAAACAAAACGGTTTTCTACCCAGTGGCAGAATTACACAAAATTCACAATAAAATCAGAATGCCACTGGAGTCAAAATGCAGACTCCATTTGTTGAGGAGTGGCCTGTAATATTGATGGTGGATAGTCAATATTAGCTCCTGAGGTATTGGAAATTTAAAAACTAGTTTCAATACCAGGAAGAGCCACGTTTAGTATCGACTACCTCTCGAAATAAACTGTGATGTAAACTCTATACCTCACACACATTCACGAAAATTTTGAGTTATGCATCAGTTATTTCAGCAAAATGTTGTCTGTGTGTGTTCTGCCGTCTGTGCATGTAGCTAGGCATTTGTTTATGGTGTAAATCGAGGACACACACGAGCAACATCATCGATGAATCGAGGACAGGAACCAAATCGAGGACTACTCGGTTGGAAAACGTGTACAAAACCAATGAGAGCTGTTGTGAAAAAGTTTGCAAAGGGAAGAGGAACAGAAGAAAATCCTTGATTTACACCATAACAAAAGGTCTATAGAGATGTTTGTGTATGCATGCTACCCCCATGTGATAGTTTCACAATTGCTTTAGTAAAGTGCATGCGTAGCAGACTATTGCATGGGTAACCCATGCGATACTTGACTATGCACAAGTATTTACTCCGTGCATGAATTGTTGCATGTGGGCTGATGAAAGTAAAACAAGGGGCTGACTTATGTACATGAACGTGATGGTGAATGGACTTGTTTTGGCTCAGTCATCACAATGTTCCTGCACGTCCCAATTTAAATCACAAGCTATTCAAATGAGCTTTGACAAAAGGATTTCCTTTGTTACTGTTGGTCCACTGTTCCTTGTGACTGGACTTGTGATTCTACTTGTGACTGGACTTGTGACGGTTTTGTAGTGGACTAGACTACATCCATTGCATACCGCAGCGCAAAGCTTCCCTACTTCATCTGTAAAAAAAGAACATTTCGACCAAATATTAGGTGAGGAAAAATCATGGTTAAACCCTTATCCTGTTAAGCGCAACAGAAGGCAACAAAGGTAAAAAGTTGTTGCAACAGTATGCTGCATTTAACAGGCAACTCAAGTCTCTGTGCTTGTTGCATCTTGTTGCATTTAGCAGGGTAAATACTCTTACTGCCAAGGCGATACAACAGAATCCACTGTTGCATTCGGTTACATTTAGCAGGGAAACTGCTTAGTGCCAAGGCTGGTATGCACTAGGTTCACTGCACAATGCAACATAAATCACTGTTGCAGTTTGTTGCATTTAGCAGGGTTTGTATTTCAGCCAAGTTGCATTTTGTTGCATTTGGCAGGGTGCCTAAAGAAAACCTGTTGGGGGTTAGGGTTAAGAGATAATGACCCCTCTTTACGACCCTGTTGTTTGTGATTTACGCATTTAGTTCTAATAATAGTGAATGCCATTGAGGTTTTTCCGTTTATCCTTTTTCCCCAGGAAATTTGTTGATGCTTCCCTGATGTAATAGACTTGACTGATTTGAATTGATACAAAAAATTGATGCCTATCACCATAGCAAACAGTCTGAGATTTTCTTTCCAATATCCCCCCAGTGGAACACAAGGCACAAGAGAGAGAAGCTGACGGAAGTGATGTTTGAGAAGTACAGCATTCCAGCCTTCTTCCTGTGCAAGAATGCAGTGCAAACAGCGTATCCTTTCATATCAAACCCAACTCAGTGGAAGACTTGTGAGGCCTCCAGTCCAAAGGGAATAGGAAGAAATGACAGAGTCTTGGTAGCAAACATCGTATGATGAATGATCATGTTAGAAAGATGAATTAATGAGCTTGCATTATGTGATTCATTAGTGTACATGTACCTTATTAGTGTGAGTTATATTCAGGAGGTTTAGCCAACTTGTGTGCGGGGAAAATGAAGAGTTCCCCTTGATGTAATTGTGACTCCTGGACAAAAGAATCTATTACAACAATTGAAGACCTTATTCACAAAGAAGCCTTTTCTGATCTTTTAGTATTTTATAAATTGTAAACTGTTGAATGGGATAGAGACTGAATTTGTATACGTTCTATTTTTTTTAAAATATGGCTTGAAACATGAGGGTACATGTACATGTATGTTAAAGCACAGATTTAAAATGATTCATCAGATCAGACTGGTATCATTTTGTAATTGACTTTATTTCATTGCTTGCATTTCTATTCACAACTTCCAAAAATGAAGAGCTTTACTTCGCTTTGAATTTAATTTGGTGGACACGTGAATGAAACCTACTGGGGTTACGCAAGCCGATCAATTCACAAAAGTTACCGCAATAAGCATCATTGTGTACTGTTTTCAGTGCTTGTGCCCACTCGATTGCAGGCATACAATGTAAAGTAAATACCACCCAACATAGCTTTGCTTTCATTAAGAATCAAGGATGCATGTACATGTACATTGTAAACTCATTAATTTACAAAGCATAAGAAACACCTGTGCACTTTGTCATATCCCTGAACATTTAAGTTATATGTACATGTACATCATCATTCAGTAATAAGGTTACATTGAGTGCATCTATACAAGTCAATCAGGTACATGTTGTACAAGTTGTCTATGTGCAATGCAGTGGATACAATAGAGTTCCTTAATTGTCGGCCCCCAGTTTTGCTAATATCCGATCCACTGGGCTTGTTATAGACAGTGGTGCAACGCATACAACAGCTACGCCGGTCCATGAAGGCTATGTTTTACAACAGGGTGAGTTGAGAGTCTGTAATACCTGCATAATTAATGGATGGTTCTGGATTTACCCGTAAGCAGTACCAACTTGGCATGTTGGAAACGTGGGCATCTTCCCATTGCTATACTGCGTGTTCAGTTGCCTTAGATAGTACCCTCAAACATCGTTCTTAAGCCCAACCACTAATGTGAGTAAAAGTAGATATGGGGATCTACATGTATGCACTTCAAAGTTGGAAGTTGCAGAGAAGTTAATGAATGTGAATTCAAAACCAATCGAAGATCAAAAGCCTCGGATCAAAAAATTGTACCCAAAGATTCCATCATTCCTAGGATATAATAGTTTTTAATAGTTTCTGAATACGGGCAATTCCCAATTCAGTGCCACCATCCGCTAAAATAGTGGAGTTGGATACTTGTTCTCACATATAAGTTTCCAGTTGTAAAGTGTTCCATTGTGCAGTGCCCCACGTACATGTGTATCTGTTTTTTTCAGGCATCGTCAAGAGTCCCCTAGCGGGGGATTTTGTCACCATGCAGTGCAAGGAACTTTTTGATGAAATGAAAATAGAAGTGGTTCCCCCATATCTTATAGCCTCCAAGGTACGTACATTGTAAATGCATGTTAAGCCGACGCTGTTTGATATCCCAAAACACCACAGTGTTTCTTGTCTGTCACACCCACAGTGCAAAGATACACATTACACACAGTGCCACAATATGGGCGCCATGCACAGTAACCACTTAACAGTTGCAGAGAGCTAGCTACATGTAGTTAGGCAGTACAATTGCACACGCTGCCACTGTATGCCTTACAGTGTTGTAGTCGAGTCACTCTAGTTGAGTCTGAGTCTTGAGTCGTTTGGGTCAAGTCTAAGTTCAAGTCTTGAGTCATTTAGGTCGAATTCGAGTGAGAATCTCAAGTCACTTGGGTCGACTCCGCGTCTCCAGTCATTTGGGTCAAGTCCAAGTTCAAGTCTTGACTTCCCTTTGATTGAATTGTGCCGATGTGAGTAGAGTCGAGTCCAAGTCACAGAAATTACAACTTGAGTTGGACTCGAGTCCGAGTCCTGGACTTGAATCCTACAACACTGACACGTTGCCACTGTACACCTTGCACTCATGTGAAGAAGACAGAAGTTTGTGCACATTCAGAATAAAATTTAATGCTTGAACCTAAACCTGCGCGCAGTGTGTCTCACATTTTTGGATAGAAACATAACTAAGGAAGACTCACAGTGAAATCGCACTACTTCCCCTCAAACAGCATTGCAGTAGTACATGTAGAACTATGTAGAGCCAATATGGCGCATCAGACTGGCATTTATCTTCTGTTTCCATGTTAAGGAAAACTGGGAATATCTCTATTCCCCCTGAATGGGATGCTAGTCAATCGCAGGTTACTCCCCAGCTAATGCCGGTACCCATTTATTCTCCTGGGTAGAGAGAGGCAAGTGGGGGTGAAGTGGCTAGCCCAAGGACACAACATATGTAGCTGTATCCGAACCCCTGACCCACTGATCATGAGTCATGAACCCTAACCACTAGGCCACACTCCTCAGCATTGTATTTGTATATTATTTGATGAACCGTCCATCAGGAGGTGGTGAAAGAGGGCGCCCCAGCCAACTTCAAGAGGAAGGAGGTTCCACAGGTGACTAAATCCTGGCACAGCTACCGTGTCAAACAGGTGCTTCAAGACTTCCAGATTACAGCACTGCAGGTAGCAGATACACCCTATGAACCAGAGTAAGTCACCAGATTCTGACCTTAAAGTTGAACTAAACAATGCTATGTTTAAATAGTCAGATTAATGGATAGACCTTCATCAGGGTACGCCATCTTGAAAATCAAAACGAAGCACAATAACGCAAACAAACATGGCGGCGTAAATAGTGTGTGCAGTGATCGAGTGACTCTCGCAGAGTTACAGCAGTTTTACACTCTTATAAATGGATAGTTGCTCAAATTCGCTGAAACATCATTCAATATTCTAGGTAGGTCACATCTCATTGCATTTTGAAGAAGGATCTTCTAAATATAAAGCCCAAAACCTGAGACCGAACTGAATTTTCCGTGACTTTCCAGACTTTCCATTTTCACTTTTCCATCCACAGCGTTTTCTGAGCTGAAATTGCAACTGTTTAGTGAAGTTATTCCATTACATGTATGACTATCCAGTTTTGATCATTCGCAAGGATCTGTCATTTCCAAGAAAAAGAGGAACTGGAGCCCCGTAGAGAACGACTGAACAATTTTGTTCACTGAAGCCTGACTTGTGTCAGTGCAAATGGTACAAGCCCAATGAGACATACATGCCTACACGACGGGTATCTTGAAGGGCTTGTGCCATTTTGCATGTAAACAAGTCGTGCTACAAGGCACTACTTTTGGGAAATAAAAGAGAAAATTATCACGGTTCTGCATTTGGCTCCAATTTTCCTCTTAATGACTGATCCTGTGCAAATTACAATTCATGGATAGTTCCCTGATGTAAGTACCTGCTAAAGAATTTCAGCTCGGGAAATGTCAAGTTCCCCCCCCCCCCCAAAAAAAAAGAATAAAGAAAAAGTAAGGATAACACATTTTGTTTAAAGTCCAACTTTTATTCTGAAAATTGAAATTGTCTTTTCTACATTGCTATTTTTTTCCAGGAATTCAGTTTTGAATGAAACATCAACAGAAAAATTTGGCCCATGTGTTTGAATTATTTCTTGGGGTAGGCTAGTTCCCGGCCCACAATCATCATGATCAGTATCAATAAGATACGGACCGGGAGGCAGTCTGTTTGCAGAGCGAATATGTATGTTCCTAAAACAAAAGATTTTAATTTTGGAGGATTACTGTGGGGAAAACATGCCCCCCCCCACCCCCACAGTGGATGTATGTGCCCCCTCCCCCCCTGTAAAAAAAAAATTAATCCAAAACAAAAACTTCTTCAGAGGGTTGCAGACCTCCAAAACTAGGGAAAAGAAAGTATTTTTTTTGGGGGGGGTTGAATAAAATATATATGTTTAGAATGTTTAAATGAAAAAACAAATTGACTTTTTTGTTGAAGGGCACGGGGAATGCAACTTTAATGAAGGGAATAAATGTGTGCTTGGGAGGTATTAAACACTCCGTTTAAGACCGGTTGGAGTGCGGATGGGTGTTGATTACCACAGATAAATGCCTTTTCGGTAAAAAAAAAAATTCTTTTCAGTCAAAAAATCAAAACAAGTCAAAAGCTAGATGTTGCCCACTATTTGATTCAACAATTTCACTTCATGTTTTATGAAACACCCCTCTGACTATTATATGGAATATCCCTCTACACCCTACCTTATAAGGAGATTGGGGTGCCAGTTGACATACTGCACGATGTTGCGCAAAACGCAGCTGGGTTGGTGTAGTGTGAATTTCAGACTACAAAATACTGATTCTCTGGTAGTATTGCGCATGCCTACGCAAGGAATGTGAACATTCAACCAATGAAACGTTAAAAGGCACCAGATTTCATTGGAGTCCAAATTTCATGTGAAACTAGGAAAGTGTTTAAGACAAGCCAGCCATGTCTTTATCATCCATTTAAGACCGGCCATGTGATTAGACCGGCCACGTGATGGGCTCTCGACCAAAAGGAATGGGTAAGCTGTCCTAGGTATTTATGAATGTTGAATAATATTGTTATTGTATGTTTGTTTGTGTAGTGCCGCTGATCAGTTGCCCACAGTCCTGTATGATTTCCCTAATGGCTACCATCAAGAGTTTGCCGAGGAGCGAGTTCGTATCCCAGAAGGCCTATTTGATATCTCACATGTCAAGGTACTAAGACTGTGATAAATAGTCCAAAGTTTTTATTTGGATATTTGGATATGAAATGCATTCATTGAGTAGAGCTTGTTGCCAGCATGCAAGCACGATATCCGGGAGTCGCATGTTCAAGTTCCCTCCTCTCAAGGTTTTTTTGTTTAAATTATATTGATTTAAAAATTCTTGTTAATTGTAACTTCAATTCAATTCATAGTGATCAATGACCCTCATTTTGTTTGGTCAGTCACAGACAGTTAGAATTTCAATCCTGTTCCCCTGCCATGCCTTTTACACAGGCTAGTCAACAACAGTCAGATCACATTACTTGTTGGCACTGTGACAGTCAAATTCCATCAACAGACAAAAGCAGGTGACTGGTAGGCACAGCTGGCTTTAATATCAATCTCTGACAGTCTAAGCCTAGCTACATGTATCAGGTTTCATAACAATCACAGCCAGTCAATCCTGCTTTATGAAGTCAGGGAGCACTTAACTGTTAGAAACGGAAACTTGATTTATTTTGACTGCTGGGCTCGCCTTGTCAAAAGGTAGTCTATGGAATATCCCCTGGCACAGGCACCTCAGAAACTTGAGAACTACATGTAGACGTCTTGCAGGTTACACTGCAATGATATAATTTATTTCTGTTAAATTAAGTCGCAACCTTCATGTTTTTGAATGACTTGCATGATTTATTAGAACACTTGGTGACTCTTTTTGTACTCTTTTTGTGTTTTTGTACACTCAAGGCCTCTGGATGTTCCATGTCATAGTATACAAATAATGAATGTTTGTGAGTGCAATGGTAAGAATAATTTCATGAGGTGACAGATGAAATGTTCCATTCCACGAGGCGAAGCCGAGTGGTATGGAACATTTCATCTGTCACCGAATGAAATTATTCTTTCCATTGCACGAACGTGAAACATTCATTATTTGTATTATATAACACCTGAATAAATCCTTGTCATCTGATTGGTTGACTTTTAATAGCCAATTTATTCAGGTTAATAACTGTTTAAAAGTTCGACAAGTTCATCATATTTATATTAATGCAAACTGTTCGAAAGGTTAAGAACAATCATATTCAATTTATCTTGATTTAAAACAGCGCCACCACCAGCAGCAGTGACACCGTGCAATGGAAGTTCTAATCACAGTGCAATAGAACTTCCATTGCACTGGGCGCTGCGCGCCACGTGCGCGCCGTGCGTTTGTACGAATAATTCAGTGACATGTGATCAAACGATCCACCAATCAGATGACTGGGATTTATTCAGATGTTGTATAGCAGTCAAATAGTTGTGCATGCTTCACTATCTTTCTCATGGATGTTTTCTTTCTTTCCATCAGGGCTTTGAAGGTAATACTATGTTGGGTGTTGGTCATGTGGCCAGCACAAGTATTGGGCTGTTGGATGCTGATATCAGAGCGGTAAGTAGGACTTCCTCGAAAAAGGCAACTTTAAAACTTCAAGGTCGACACTTTGTCTATAATCAAAGTCATCTGTTCTTTGTTTACATAAGGAACAATGGACCACATATGCATATTTTTATTAATAATATGATTTCAGTTTATTGTTTGAGCAGGATAGTAAATGTGTTTGTTATTGACGTGGATGTATTCTTATTTTAGTTGCATTTCTTCTTTTGTAGGCTATGTACAGCAATGTTATTGTCACAGGAGGCAACACGCTGCTGTCTGGATTCATAGACCGCCTACAGAGAGAACTACAGAACAAGGCCCCACAGGTGAAATCTAGCTTCTGACCATCACCAACCTGACCATCCCCAACCTGACCATCCCCAACCTGACCATCCCCAACCTGACCATCCCCAACCTGACCATCCCCAACCTGACCATCACCAAACTGACCATCACCAACCTGACCATCACCAACCTGACCATCACCAACCTGACCATCCCCAACCTGACCATCCCCAACCTGACCATCCCCAACCTGACCATCCCCAACCTGACCATCCCCAACCTGACCATCCCCAACCTGACCATCCCCAACCTGACCATCCCCAACCTGACCATCACCAAACTGACCATCACCAACCTGACCATCACCAACCTGACCATCACCAACCTGACCATCCCCAACCTGACCATCCCCAACCTGACCATCCCCCTACCTGACCATCACCAACCTGACCATCCCCAACCTGACCATCACCAACCTGACCATCACCAACCTGACCATCCCCAACCTGACCATCACCAACCTGACCATCACCAACCTGACCATCACCAACCTGACCATCACCATCCTGACCATCACCATCCTGACCATCCCCAACCTGACCATCCTCAACCTGACCATCTCCAACCTGACCATCACCAACCTGACCATCCCCAACCTGACCATCCTCAACCTGACCATCCTCAACCTGACCATCAACAACCTGATCATCACCAACCTGACCATCACCAACCTGACCATCACCAACTTGACCATCACCAACCTGACCATCCCCCTACCTGACCATCACCAACCTGACCATCCCCAACCTGACCATCACCAACCTGACCATCACCAACCTGACCATCACCAACCTGACCATCACCAACTTGACCATCACCAACCTGACCATCACCAACCTGACCATCCCCCTACCTGACCATCACCAACCTGGCCATCCCCAACCTGACCATCCCCAACCTGACCATCACCAACCTGACCATCACCAACCTGACCATCACCAACCTGACCATCACCAACCTAACCATCCTCAACCTGACCATCCCCAACCTTACCATTACCAACCTGACCATCACCAACCTGACCATCCTCAACCTGACCATCCCCAACCTGACCATCCTCAACCTGACCATCAACAACCTGACCATCCCCAACCTGACCATCACCAACCTGACCATCACCATCCTGTTCATCCCCAACCTGACCATCACCATCCTGACCATCCCCAACCTGACCATCCTCAACCTGACCATCAACAACCTGACCATCCCCAACCTTACCATTACCAACCTGACCATCACCAACCTGACCATCCTCAACCTGACCATCCTCAACCTGACCATCAACAACCTGATCATCACCAACCTGATCATCACCAACCTGACCATTACCAACTTGACCATCACCAACCTGACCATCACCAACCTGACCATCCCCCTACCTGACCATCACCAACCGGACCATCCCCAACCTGACCATCACCAACCTGACCATCACCAACCTCACCATCCTCAACCTGACCATCCCCAACCTTACCATTACCAACCTGACCATCACCAACCTGACCATCACCAACCTGACCATCCTCAACCTGACCATCCCCAACCTGACCATCAACAACCTGACCATCCCCAACCTGACCATCACCAACCTGACCATCACCATCCTGTTCATCCCCAACCTGACCATCACCAACCTGACCATCCTCAACCTGACCATCACCAACCTGACCATCACCAACCTGACCATCCCCAACCTGACCATCACCAACCTCACCATCACCAACCTCACCATCATCAACCTGACCATCCCCAACCTGACCATCCCCAACCTGACCATCACCAACCTGACCATCACCAACCTGACCATCACCAACCTGACCATCACCCAACCATCACCCAACCATCACCAACCCAACCATCACCAACCCAACCATTATCAACCCCAACCCCGTCAACCCGACTACCACCAACCTGACCAAAATCAACTGACCATCACCAACTCGACTTTCACTAACTTGACTATCACCAACCTCATCATCACCAACCTGACCTTCACCACCCCTACCTGTTATCCTAACCATCACCAAACTGACCATCACTATCAGTAAAACATGTACATATATGTAAAATTATGAAGTGTTGGGGCGGTTTTGTATGTTATAATTAACACGCAGTGTGCTTTTGGCTTTTTTTGTGCTTACAGGAACTAATGGGTTAAGGTTTTCTAGACAGACATTAAATGTATTAAAGATTTGTTTTGGTCATTTTGAATAGAATATGAGACTGAAGATCATCGCTCCGTCTGGCACCACAGAGAGACGATTCAGTGCCTGGATTGGTGGCTCTATCCTTGCTTCACTGGTAGGTATCATATGCACGCTAATGTTGTGCATCAGGTTGGGTTGACCAGGCAGAACCGACCCAAAACATTATAGATTTAAACCGAATCTGAACCGAAACCGATCTGAACTCCCTAAAACCAACCTGACCCGATCTGACAAATATTCAAGGAAAATTGACCCGAACTGAGCCGAAAAACCTGAATTTCTGGCTTGGGCAACTGTGTTCTCTCTTTGTGTCTGAACTTACCCGCGTCACATGAGAATCATCATCTCTCAGGAACTGCATCGTACCGTTCTCACAACGTGACCTACTGGTGGGCCTACATGTTATAGACCGTGCATGATAGACCGCCAACCACATTTGGTCATACTGGGCACTGTGACTCTGCAATAAATATTGCACTGTGTGAATTTCTGAACTATTTCTTTCCCCCCCTTTTTTTAATTCGGTTTATTTTGGGTTTTTTCAAGGTGGCTTAACCGACCCGACCCAAAAATCGCAAACGGAAAACTGAAACTGATCCGACCCAACTGAAATGACGGACAAACCGACTCGATCCAACCCAAAGTCGGTTTCGGGACAAGTCGGGTTTGTTTTGGGTTGGATTTGCACGACATTAATGCCCACTTTCAATCCTAAACAAGTGCCTCCCACAAGCGTTGTAGTCCATTACCTTTCCTGTCAGACTAGCTTCAAGGTTCATATATCCTGGTGCTTAGTATGGCTGCATGTAAGTTGTCCACTGTTGTTTTAAATAAATTTGATAGTTCAAATACATGTAGCATACTTTTCTTACTCTCGTCTTTGGGTAAAACAAGCCTGTACCCTCATTTCGAGGAGAAGCCAAAGTATGCGCGCAGAGAATCAATGATGCTAGGAGTCCTTTTACTCTAACTCCCTACTGTCTTTTACTAAGCACTGGACCAAGTCTGCCAATATCCATCAGTCACACTGCTTCCAATGCATGCTTTGCTTTTGGCCTCCAGGCCCAAGTCCATTATATTCCATCAATATTTAGTCAAACCAGGCCTGCAGTACCAAGTTCCCCAAAATCCACCAAAATGGGGGATGGATTTTGATGGAGTTGGGAAGGTTAGGGTTAATCGCCTTCTCTTTCTCACCATAGAGGGGGTATTTGTGCACAAAACCCATACATGTTTATGCATTATCCTCCATTTATTTTGCCAACAGGGAACTTTCCAACAGATGTGGATATCCAGACAGGAATATGAAGAAGCAGGCAAAAGCTGTGTGGAGAGAAAATGTCCATGAATATTTCAGTGTCATTGTTCACTGCAAGATGTAAGCATCCCATCCCCGTTTACAGATCAGTCGCAAAAACTACACTGTCAAGATTCATTTGAACCGGTGTGTTAAAAGTAACACAGAAACGCTCATTAGGACTCCTGGAGAGCAATGGTGTGCATTTGCAGGTACTATAGGAACTGGGTCCCTTGAAATAAAACTCGGTCCCAGAATGCAAATCACGGACGTTGTCTGAAGGGCTTGACAGCTTTGTGGTGTAAACTGCAACTTTTGGGCGCGTCACCTGTCGCGCATTAAAATGCACATAAATGTGAATCTGTTTGGTTTTACATGTAGCCTGGTTTTAATTTTTTTTAAAATTCCCAACAAATAACATTCAAAACTTTTCTTTTTCATTGCCTTAGAATATACCAAGTAATTTGTACGGTTGGTTGTGGGTACCTGATCCCATAATCTGGAACCGGTTCCCGACATCAGTGGTCGGGTACCGGTTCAGATGCACTTTATAGACTGAACGTTATTAAGCAAAATAACTGCACTGTGAATTAACTGACCGGGCACTTTCGTACCACTTTTGAAAAAAAATTAAGTTCTCTTTAGTAATCTAAAAGCATAATTAAGAGGAACAATATATTAAAGTATTGTATCCCTGAAAGCACTATAAAGTGGACATTGTAGAGTGCTTCAACCTTAACTCCACGCATCTTCGCCAGGAATGTTCTTGAATCCCCAAACTCAACCACTGTGAGGAAAACCAGTGGCACATCCACTCAAGGGTTTTCATCAAGCTCTGGGCTGTATCTTCCTCAATTCTGCAAATCCTTCCAAATCACCTGGGTTTTTGAGGATTTAGGAGGATCAGAGTTAAATTCCGAGAAAGGTAAAGAATCACGAGGGGAGCAACTAGGGAAGTGTAGCATATCAGGGGGTTCTTTATTGGCAACCTTCTGTTTTAATATTTATGTACATGATAACGAAAATAAAAAAGGCTGTATTCACCCATGGCTGGTCTTGTAATTTTGAGTTTTTATCCTTGCAATGGAATCGCCCCTGGCCCCACACATGTTTACGTTTATCATACCTAGTGTGGACATTCTTTTGTTTTCGTGTAGTTAATAAAAACCTGTGAAAAAAACTCATTTTACTCACGCTGTGAAAACTCTTTCAACCAAATTTTTTTTCTATGATTCCCTTTTGTGTTTCTCTTCATTTTGCCACGGATAAAGCTCACTCAAAAATACCTCTAAACCTGTTTTCCAGAGAGGGGGAAACATTGTGTGGTCGTGGGCAAGTCCACACAACGTCACTGCTACCTGTTTATGTGGACATATTTTGTTCGGAAGTCCACACAGTGAATGTGTTTAGGCTCTGTTTAATATGTGGAACACCTCTTTGAATTATAACTCACTCGCTCTTGTGTTCCAAGTCGTGGACTTCTTGCTAATGGATATACATGTAGTACCTTCGTCTGTTTGAATCACGCATGTAATAGTTTTACAACAATCCATTGTGAGCATTTGCAGACCCCTAGCCTGCAGCCTAAAAAGTAGTTCATCCCTTGCGGCAGAAATGCATTTTGCGGGGGGCCGTATCATAAGCCCGAGGCCTCATAGGTCCGACGCCTCATATGAGGCGTGGGACTTATGAGGCACTACATTTATTTATTCGGCCTTGGTATCAATACCCGCACTACGTCTAAATACAAACTTTGGGTTTCACACTCGACACTGCAAAGAAATACATAACATCCTACTTTGCTGCAAAAGGTGTCGCCAACAAAGGGGAATCATTAATTTCACACCTGTCATCCAGCTCATTAATGCTCACATTGGCCCATATTCCAATCGTCGTACTCTTCCTGTGCATAGATTGGGAAACTTTGTCGAAATTGCCTGAGAAAGTAACGGCATTTACACAGGGTTTGCTGAGGTTCTAGTCAGTCGCTGTTGCGATGAAGGCGATGATCAGGTGGCGCTGATGAAATCAGTCGTGCGTGGACTGGGGCGAGTCGCTCTTGATGGGTTACTACATCCCAAGGGGGAAAGGCTCGTGTCCTCAGAGGAATTTGAAGAGAAAGCCTTGGAGGATGGGTGTCGATTGGGTTTCCTTCAACAAGAAAGTTTCACGAGTGGCTTGAAGAAGATGAAGGTAGTAGCTTTTCTGCACAAGTCTATCCAAGAATACTTCGCAGCATACTACTTTGCCAATTTGCATCACGCAAACGAAGAGGAGTTTCATGAGAGGCTGCAGCTGATCAATCCTGACAATTTCGTGCGACGTGGATAAGGTGAGACCCGGTTTCAATAAAAATACATCCCATGACATGCTTAGCAAATGTATGTACCTAGATGCTCCTCGAAACTGGCACCAACATCGATGTTAACACCTCAATTTCTGAGGAGAAAACCTACGTTTCTAATTATCAATTCCTTAAATAGTACAATCTGTTGTCAGTGCATGGAGAGATTGTCATGCAGACTATATTGAACAAGTTTCTAGACATAAAAGCCACTCATGATACCTAAATCCCCCGAGTTTCTATTGACACGTTCCAATATGCATGTAATTAGATTAAGAAATTCATTCTCAACATAAATAAAGAACATCTAAACCAAATTGATAAAATCCATTGATCTATTTGAGTGCCGAGAGTTTTAAGTGTGAGCAGCACAAACTTTGCAGCAATACAATTGTCGATAATGACAACAATTTTATGTTCTCATTCGATGATGAAGTTTGTAAGGCAAATTACATTTACACCTGGAAAGTAATTTCACTGCGAATTTATAATTTATGATGAAGGAAACCTTATTTGTCAACTCCATCAATCAACGACAGCAGACGTGCAGCTCATTAAGGCAAAAAAACCGGCGAAAGATGCACTTCCGATCTTTTCAGCAATCAGTCGATCACAGACTTTACGGTCTTTGAATAAAAATACGCGTGATTCACGACTGAATCACAAGTGCATTATAGTCAACATCTACAACAAAACGTATCAGTGAGACAGAAGGGTAACTGTAGCTGTATGGATGTTGTTATCTAAATAGTACAGCACAGTTAAGGAAGTGGGCGTATATGTGACTTTGAAAAAGCTGCTTCACACAAAGGACCTTAGTACCCGGTGCATACATGTGTAGTCGTTTTTTTTCAAGGATACTTGCATTGACGGCACTGTGAAGCTCTTCGTGATCAACTGTTGATGGAAAATCACTACATACTTTGAATTATGCTGATCAAAGACACCCTATAATACACAACTGTAAGCCATGAATTCAACTCAGCAACTCAATGACACCGAAGAGCTTACCGGAAGCGAGTTGATCTGCAATATCATGGTAGCAGAAGGAGTTATTGGTGTCTTCGGAAACCTCTTAGTGTGCTTCGTTATTCTACGCGTCAAATTTCTACACAACATGACAAACTATCTGCTGGTGAATTTGGCTGTGGCCGATATGCTGCTTTGTCTTCAGAGTTCTTTTTATATCTAACCTCTTTAGAATGTACGCTAGGTGCTTTTGTGCCAACAGGCATTATTGGGAGAGAACTTTTCTGTCGCGTTCTGATCTCGGAGTATTTAGCATGGGCCCTGTCTTATGCATCAGCTTACAATCTCTGCGCGGTAACTATAGAGAGATACGTTGCCATGGGCGTAGCGAGGAGGGGGCAAGGGGGGGGGGCACTTGCCCCCCCCCCTGGAAAAGCAAAAAAAAAAAAAAGAAGTAGAAGAAGGAAAAAAAAGAGAAAAAAGAAAAGAAAAAGAGGCGCGAAGACAAAGTGGTGTAAATTTAATGAGTTGGGGGGGGGGCAACATGTCCCTGCCCTCCTCTAAAACTGATAAATCGAGAATATGTTGAGAAATGCAAGCATTTTTTTTTTTTTGGCCCCCCTCTAGAAAAAATCCTGGCGACGCCCATGTACGTTGCCATCATGCATCCATTACAATACAAAAGGAAACTCACCGCAACACGGATGAAATATCTGATTGCTCTGATCTGGGTGATTTCATTCCTCTTTTCTTCACCATTTATATTTACGATTGAAACAAGCAATAACCCCGAGCATCCTTGCTTTGAATCCAAATACCCTCATCATGAATTCCCAATTCTGCTGAATGTGTTTTCATTCTTCATGGGGTACTTGCTGCCCATAGCATTGATGAGTTGGGCCTACTACAAGATACAAATCACTCTCAAAAGACAAGCGAAAGTCCTGAACCTGCAATATGCAAGGGCAGCTGCCTATGATCTTGTGCTTGCTAGACATCGTCTAGTCCGCACACTCTTAATTGTCTTAGGATCTCTTATCATCCTATTGACACCAAGTTCGACAGCTATTCTTCTCTGCCTGCATCCGATACACAAGGCTCTAATTTCTTTCTGTGATTCACACACCTATGGATATATTCTTGCTGTCTGTGATTTTTTCTACTATTTTAATTCAGTCATTAACCCTATAATCTATGAACTTAAATACAAGAAATTCCGACAAGGAGTTAAGGTTGCCTTTTGCAGCTGTTTTAAAAGACATGGTAATAACAGAGTTGACATTGAGATGATACCATTATGAGAATAATTGTACGTGTACACCCGACATATTGCTAAAAATGAATGTCTTATTTGCAAAATGCTGTAATATTCATACAACTTTAAACAGCTATGCATATTTGCTTCGTGGGGGATTGTTGCAGTTTGGTAGATACAGGTACTGGCTTAGGAAAAAAAGTAGGTTTGTTTTAGGCTAACCTTTACATGAAAATGTATGATTCATCAACTAATTTTCTGCAGCAAACTATAATTATTTGTGTTTAATAGGAAGGGGCGTAATCATACATGTCGCCACCACATTTTAAGTTAAATGGAATGGAGTTTGGCCGCCACCATGCATTTAAGTTTTTATCAGACTTGTGTTTTCTTAAAAGGAAGTGGTTTTCTGGCTAGAAAAATAGCAAGGAAGAACCGGTTTTGTGCAGGCAAAATTCAGGAAATAATCTGTTGATATTAATAACTTGTTGGAAAGTTCCAAGGTCATTCCAAGAAGGTTGCCGCCGTGAATTAGGGTTAAAACATGGGAGGGGATGGGATTTGCTATCAGCATCAGCAGGGCCGTTCCTCATTCTTTTCTTTTTATGGGATGTATGATAACATTGGAGTACGAGGGGCTCTGCGAGCTGATGAATCTTTTTTTGAAAACATTGTGTTTGCAACCAGCTAGGGAAGATTTTCGTTTATTTAAAACTTACAAGCACTGGTATGGATACCTGTGTAGTTATATGACTAAACTGCCTAGAGCGTATTTGTTAAGGGTTTTTTTTCCTTTTTTGGAAATTCAATACGCATATAGGGAGTAAGGTCAGTTCCACTGCTGGGTTGCGGTAATGGGTGGGTTATAACTTGTCAACACATACCTCGCCAGCGGGCCCATTAGATTGGTGATAACCGGAGAGCGGGAGTTTCAAAAAAACTCATCCGGTGTATAGGCGACGCAGGGACTGGTTTGTGTACATGTGGTTTTTGTTTCTAGTTCACTTAATGTTTTGATTTATACCGGTGATAATATGCCGTCCCACCTGTTTTTCTTTTTTGTGTGTCGGGGGAAACAGTGCATATTTTCTGTGCCCTTTTTACGCACTTCATCAGTCACCCTTTGTTTAATTCTTTTGTACGTATTTACTTTATTGCTAATGATGGTAAAGAATATTTTACGCGTTAGCTTTTCTTGTAATGATCAGACTAGGTGGATTCCTTATTTTTTTATTTTTTATTTCGAAATCCATGCCTAAATGACCATTATGTTAGTTCTGTTCTTCAAGAAGTTCCAAAAGGATTTGAACGTTCTCCTCATCCAAGTTTTTTTCTTGGTTGGATGGTGGAGATGGGTTAATCCTTGAACGGACCAGGCCATCTTTTATGTTTTTTTGTCGTTTGTATGCCAGGATGGGTTGGGTTGCAAAGAGTGCACTGAGAAAATCATTATCGCTGATCAGATTCCAGTGTTTCAGAAGGGCCTGCTTAAGAGCTGGGTGTTTAATTTGTGGGTTGTAGGGTAAAACAAAGACCAGCGGGATATTCTTTTCGGTTTTTGCACGCTTTTTAAAGTTCACGCGAGTTTCGCCTTTTTGAGGAAGAAGGGCTAAATCTTCTTGGTTGTATCCGCGTTTTTGTAGTTTGTCTTTGAAGAATTCAACCTTCTCCTCAAATTCTTTTGAGTGTGTGCATATACGGTCATATCTCATTACTTCTCCCTTAATCAAACCGCCAAATACTGACTCAGGGTGGGCTGAATCTCGAGCAAGATACTGAAAGGTATCAGTTTTTTTGGTTGCTACTCGAGTATCCAGTTTCCCTTCTTTTTTGAACCGTTCGCCTTTGTAGATGACGAGGTCGAGGAAGGTGACTTGACTGTTCGAAATCTCTGACGTGAACTTGAGCGTGGGATGAATTTGGTTTAGAGTTTGGACGAGGTCACCGGCTTGGTCTTCGTTACCGTTAAATATTATTAAGACGTCGTCCCTGTATCTCATGTAACTCACAATTGAAGGATTGTGTGGGAGAATAATTTCTTGTTCATATTTGAACAGGGTTATATCGCATATTTCTGGACTGCATTCGCTTCCCATAGCCACGCCAATTTTCTGTCTGAAGAACTTTCCATTGAATTCAAATATGTTTCGATGCATGATAAGTTCCAGGAGACAGCGAGCGTGTTCTCTTGTAGGTTTGGGTATTGCGTACAGACTGTTATCGGCAACTTCAAGTGCATCGCAGACTGATTCAATTGCCTCATCTTGTGGGCAGTTTGTATACATGGACACAATATCCAATGTGATCAATAGGCTATCCTGCTTCAATGTCACGTTGTTTAGTTTTTCAAGCACATGCCCGGAATCGCGTGTATATGTGCTTTGTTGTTTGACAATCGGAAGCAGAAAATAGTCTATGTATTTTGAAATTGATTGAGTCGGACCTCCGCAACCACTAATAATAGGCCTCCCCACAAACCGCGTTTCTTTGGGTGCTTCTTTGTGAACTTTCGGTAAGAGGTAGAGGCAAGGAGTTTTGATGTCGTGGTTGTCATGGTTGAGAAACTCAAATGTTTTTTTGGATATTACTCCATCAATGTGAAGTCTGCGTATGGCTTGAGCGACCTGTTGTGCGGTTTCCCCAGTCAGATCCCTATCAATCTCTTCATAATGTGGGCCTGATAATTGTCGTAGCCCCTCATGTATATAGTCTTGTCTGTTTAGAACACATACACCGCGGCCTTTATCGAATGGTTTAATGACTATGTCTCGTCTTTGCTTAAGGCCGGTCAGAGCGATGCGTTCCGCTTTTGATATGTTAGATTTTACATTTTTTATTTCCAACTTGGATAATTCCTCCAAAGTACCCTCAATGTATGATTCTAGATTAAGGTTGAAGGTAGGTTGGGGATCCCAAGTGGAGGGCAATTTGAAAGGATGCGAATTTGAAGGTCTCACTCTCCCTGCCATTTTTAGACGTAATCTCATTTTTCTGAAAAATGATTGGGAATGGCGAAGGATGGTGGACCTTTTTGGTTTTTTAGGGGTGGGTATAAAGTTCAAACCCCTGCCTAGAGCAATCAGTTCAATGTTAGAGAGCTGAGAGTCCGAGAGATTCTTAACATAAGGCATACTCTGTTTAGCTTTCAGCTCAAGAGAGATCGTCTTCGCCCATTTCTTGTGCTTTTTGCTTATTTGGCGAGATTGGACAGATCTATTCTTGGCTGCATTCGTTTTGTTATTTTTTTGGCTTTTATTCAGTCTCCTCGCCATGCTCAAGCAGACTCAATGTAAATTTGTGTTCAATAAGTATTGACTGAATGAGGTCTGCAAGAGAGCGTGGAGATTGTGGTTTTGGTTTTAGTGGCATGCCAGCAACTTATATGTGGGAGCTGGGCGAGGTAAGGGGTACAGCGCATGTGCAAGACGGGGTGCAAAGTCACTGCAAGACGTGTGAAATCAAGCGCAAAAGAAACAGCCGGGCGGGCGCAGGGGGGGGGGGGGGGGTAAAGAATGTTGACATAGGTTGGGGAGGGAAGCGATAAGTTGTTTTGGCTTTAATTCAATTACCATCATTGCGTGTAGATTTAGATTTCTGACATTATGTTTTAATACATGGATGGAGTGAGGAGCAGCCCGTCATCTTTATTTATTATTGTACTGTGGAAAGGGGCTAGTCCAAACTCGCATTATTTATTTTATGAGAGGAATTAAACAAAATGAGTGACAAGAGAATGCTCGCAAGTAGATAAGTGGATCACCTCATCGTTTCTTGAGCCGGGGGTGGGAGGGCAGACGAGATCTAGTAGATTGTCCATCTTATCTTTGGAGCTAGTCTAGAGATATGAGGCTGTAAGTCTCAAACTATCGCTTTTATACCATTCTTGTTGTATGTCTCAAACCCTGACTTGATTTGAGGTTTCGTATACAGAGTGCGATAGGCAGGAGATTAAGCCCGATTTGTTAATAGTCATGCATGGGATGCGCAGCCGTATGGTAAATTGATTGGTCTCCTACTCCACATGTGACTTAATAACGTAGTGTTTTTGTCCGCTGACATGGATCATTTGGAGTCTAGGTTCGATTCCAAAGATACAAATGCACGCCCCTTCGACCGCCGACCGGGTGGTCGGGGGAGGGGATATCAATGTGTTTAATAGGAAGGGGCGTAATCATACATGTCGCCACCACATTTTAAGTTAAATGGAATGGAGTTTGGCCGCCACCATGCATTTAAGTTTTTATCAGACTTGTGTTTTCTTAAAAGGAAGTGGTTTTCTGGCTAGAAAAATAGCAAGGAAGAACCGGTTTTGTGCAGGCAAAATTCAGGAAATAATCTGTTGATATTAATAACTTGTTGGAAAGTTCCAAGGTCATTCCAAGAAGGTTGCCGCCGTGAATTAGGGTTAAAACATGGGAGGGGATGGGATTTGCTATCAGCATCAGCAGGGCCGTTCCTCATTCTTTTCTTTTTATGGGATGTATGATAACATTGGAGTACGAGGGGCTCTGCGAGCTGATGAATCTTTTTTTGAAAACATTGTGTTTGCAACCAGCTAGGGAAGATTTTCGTTTATTTAAAACTTACAAGCACTGGTATGGATACCTGTGTAGTTATATGACTAAACTGCCTAGAGCGTATTTGTTAAGGTTTTTTTTTCCTTTTTTGGAAATTCAATACGCATATAGGGAGTAAGATCAGTTCCACTGCTGGGTTGCGGTAATGGGTGGGTTATAACTTGTCAACACATACCTCGCCAGCGGGCCCATTAGATTGGTGATAACCGGAGAGCGGGAGTTTCAAAAAAACTCAACAGTCGTGTGAAAGGAGTCTACTAGCGAATACTTACATAGTAAGATTAATTATTACTTCCAATGCACTCGAGGGAGCAATTCATTTCATTAGAGTTCACACATTACCCAAGGCAAATACGTCCGGGTTTCATCCAATCAGTCGGAGGCTGCTGATAACATGCCAACTGGAATGGTCGAACCACCTTCGCTCTTCTTGACAAGATCCTCCGAAAAATTTCGAAAGAAACCCCCT